TAGTCTCTAAAGGTGGTGGTCCTCAACAGAGCCCTGGCTCTGGACAGCGGAAGCCATGTTGCCTCAATCTGCTGAGAGTGATTGCTGAGAAAATAAGAGGCATTGCAGAGAATTAGATCACATCGCAGGGCTTTAGAATTTGCTTTTTTTTTTTTTTTTTTTTGGACTCTTGCATATTTCTGGGAAGCCTGTTGAAACAGAGGCGCTGATGCGGTTACTGAGAAAGGCACTTGCAGTCTGTCCACCGTCATTGCCAGCCTCCATGTGGGTCAGCTCACTGAGCATGCACAGAGCTGGGAAGGTCAGGCTGCCTGCTGCTGATCTACCTTATTTTTGAAAGGATATTGGTGGGGGGTGGGAGTTGAATTGGGGCCAAGGCCAAACAGCTTGCTCAGGCTGCTCAGGTATGGGATGCACAGGTGGGCTAGGTCTCCCTAGGGCTGAAGTGGTTTCACAGTCCCTGAGGCTCCTTTTCTCCTGATTGCTCCAGCTGCCATATGAGTTGGCAGTGGCTGTGACCAGAGTGATCATTCTAGATTGTCTTAGTTCTTATCCTGGCAGCAGGATTTCTAGACAAAAAGAGTAGTCCCAGTCGAAAGGGCTTTCATCTGATATTGCGGTAGACTCCCACTGGGTGATGAGGCTCTGTCCTCCCTGTGGATCATAGTGCTCACCCTGCCATGCACCTCGGTCACCTGGGAGAGCTCACTTCAGCTGGAATGGCCCTTGAATTTTCCCAGGTCCCTATGTAGTAATACACCAACACATAGCCAAACCCCAAGCCATTAGACCACACTGACAAGTGTCAGGCCTGGAGCATACCTGCTAGCTCTAGCAGACATGAAATGGGGTAAGCCACCTTAGCCTGAGTGTGTAGGGGTGTCTTAGGGAAAGGAAGCAGAGGAGATGGTTTTCAGGTGTCCATTGGGAAGCTTGGGGGCAAGGACACACTTGAGGACCCTTAGCTATAAAGTAGGTGTTGTATGCAGAACTGTGTGAGACATGAGAGGCCAGGGAGGCCAATGAGGAGCAGCCTGGGTTCTTGAACCAATAGACCTTGAACCAATGAACATAGACCTGCATGGCATGGTCTAGGGAGCTAATTGTGAGCAGGGAGGGAGGAAATAGGGGTGGCCACTTGTGTGAGTACAGTATGAAAACAGCGGAGAATTCCATCCTATTGCTTCATGAGCCAGGACACCTGCCTGTACAAGTAGTTGTGGCCCGTGCCCTAGAAGGCTGTTACGTTAATAAGGAAACAGGGCAGCCTCTTCACAGCCAGGTGACTGGGAATCCCCTCCCCCTCCCAAGTCCAGATTGCTTAGGTGTGTTGAGAGAACATGGCACACAGAAAAACCATGTGATCATAGAACTCTTTTTTTTCCTTTTTTTTATTTATTTTTTTCCTCTTTTTTTTTTTCTTTTCTTTTTTTCATAGAACTCTTATCTGGGGCAAACTCAGCAAAGATTAGGAGTAAAAGTGCAAACCGTCTCAAAATGGAAAGACTAGAAGGAACTCATGTCAGTAAGCACATTGTTTCCAGAATATTGAAGGCGAGGGGTAGACATGACTACTCGGTGGTTAAGAGCGTGTGCTTGCAGAGGAACCATCTGTAACTGCAGCTCCAGACGGCCTGACTCTGGACTCTGGGCACCTTCATCCACATACTCAGAATAGTATGCACCCTCAGTAGTACATATAGTTAGAATTATTTAAGAAGCTGAGAAACAGGATACTTATTAAAATGAAAACAAGTTATTTTTGTTTGTTTCGAGACAATTTCTTGGTAGTGCTGACTGTCTTGGAACTGTAGACCAGGATGGCCTCAAACTCAGATCCATCAGCTTCCTGAGTGCTGAGATTAAAGGCATGTGCCACTGTCTTCCAGCAAAAATGAAATTTTAAAATGATTACAATGAAGTAAAGAATATTGAAGTTAGGCAGAGAAGGTGCGATACACATTTAGACTGAATCCTTGATATATGCAAAGCAAAGAAATAGGATATATGGCAAAATTGTAATCCATGGGCTGCATGGCACTAGCTGCTCTTACTGTGGACCCAAATTCCATTCCCAGCACCCATGTCTGGCAGCTCACAACTGCCTGTAACTCCAGCTTCTTCTGACCTCTCCATTATTGTACACTTGTGGCATGCATTTACACAGACACATGCACACACAAACACAGATACATCCTAACTAATTCAAGTGAGAATCCCCACTATTGAGCTCTGTTGAGAACAAGTCACAAACGCTGAGAACAGCTGTTCGGAGCCGAGGGCCAGGATGTGGCTCGGTGTAGCGCACTCATTTCCCATGCCTAGGCTTCTGCGCTTGATCCCACTTGTTGCAAAATCAAAATCCAGCTTCCTGGCAGAAAGAATGAATAGCTTATAAGAAAAAGTAAAGGCAACAAGTAAAGTTAGACGTCAGCAACATGTCAGCCCAACAAAACAATAGCAGCGTAACTTTGACAACCCTCAGGCTGAGAGGGGTGAGCCGAGGATTTGAAGGGTCTTGATAGAACTTGAGCCCAGTTAAGTCCCTCAGCTGTGGTCCTTTCCCAGAAATGTGATGGTGAATAAGCTTTGGACAATGTCAGTGACCAGAGAGAGGCAGGCAAAAGGTGGCAGTGAACAGGCTGGCTTCAAGTACAGGACCAGCTGGCCACCCAGACACCTGCCTATGAAAATACTGTGAAAATGCAAAGGGACCCCTTAGGGCATTTAGCGTGACTGTCCCCAGAAGGCAGCATGGGTCACACCAGTAAGTGATTCCTTTCTGCTTCCACCGTTCCTCACAGTGATGATGGGAGCCATCTCAAGCGGGAGGTACTAAGTAGTTGAAATAAACTTTTGGTTGCTGAGAGTGCACGTGGCAGTTGCCTGTATGGATTCACAAGTTCTTATTTGAAAACAAAACCCTAAACAGGCACTTTCTGATTCTGCTTCTGAGTATTACTTTGGAAAGCTGTCCGTTGTGGGTCTGGGTAAGCAGCATATAGAACAAATGGGATGCTGTCCCGCACCCAGGGAAGACAACAGCATTGAGGAGGCTCGCTCACACCGGAGATGGGCAGTTTTAACCTGAGTGAATATAACAGAATGCCTGTTTTTGCTGTGGTACTGGGGACCCAAGGGCCCTGCCACAGAGCTACATTCCCAGCCCTATTCTACTTTTTATGTGGTCACAAGAATTGCTGAGTTGCTGATACTGACCCTGAGCTCATAGCCCAGGCAGGCCTTAGCCTCCCAGAAAGCAGATACTGCAGACCCTGTTCCACCAGGACCAGCCTGTGGTCCTTGCGTTTTATGGTGTTGGGAATGGGGGAGACTCAGTTGGCCACTTCGGTGAAGAATAGGGAACCAACCTATACTCAAAAACTGGGCCAATGTCCTGCCTACAACCTCCTGAAGTGGGCCAAGCACCAAGAGCTTACTTCTAATGTCTTGTCTTGAGATCATCACAGCTGCTATCTCACAAACAATAAATACCTGCCCCTTCTGTGACCAGTTGGTCCATGATCTGAATACCATCCCAGGAGCCTTTCTCTGGGGAGAGGACAGGATGGCATCTCGAGACTGTCTTTGGCAAGGCTGGGCTACAAAGGGGTGGTCTGTCCGCTAGTCCAGAGGTGGTGTGAGTGGACTGTGTAGCCAGCAGAGCCATGTGGGCCTGCCTCTTTTTTGATATTTTTAATTTTTATTTTATGTGTTTTGCCTATATGCATGTCTGTATACCATGTGCCTGCCTGGTGCCTGTGGAGGCCAGGAGGGTGTCAGAGCGCCTGGAACTGGAGTTACAGGTGGTTTTGAGGCACTGTGTGGGTACTGGGAATCGAACCCGAGTTCTCTGCAAGGGCAACAAGTGCCCTTAACAACTGAGCTAGCCCTGGAACTCCTACTCAAATCACTTTAACAGCCTGCTCGTTTACAAAACAGGCACATTTAACTGAATAGTCAGACAACTTAGAAAAAGTCGAAGCCTAAGGAAGGAACACGCGTGACCAGAGTTCTTGCCCTACTGCTTATCCACTTCTTCCCCAGCTTGTCACTTAGCCAGTGATGGCCCTGAAGGGAGGTGGATGCACTTCTGCCCCTGCAGGTCTCTGTCCTGAGCTCCCAGACTTCCTGCTGTATTCAATATTCAGATTCCATGTCATGACTGCAAATGCTGCTCAGAGATGCATAAACACAGTACACTGGCACTTTGAATCTTTAATATTTTAAATTGTATTTTGTATGTGCACAGGTGGGCAGTGGGGCAAGCATGCCACCACACACATGTGGAGGCCAGAGGAAAACCTGAGGGGTTGGTGTTCTCCTTCCACCATGTGGGTATTGTGACTGAATTCAGATTGTCAGACTTAGGGCAAGCACATTTACTTGCTGAGCCATCTCCCAGGCCCCACTATGACACTTGAATACATATGTGTCACTCTTTTGTTTCCGTTTACTTCCCCATGCCTGTCTTCCATAGTCCCTCCTGCTTTCTTCTCTCATGTATTCCATTCTTGCATTTTGCCTGCCCACCTGCCCTTTTAGATCTCTTCCTCCCCCAGTCTCCTTTCTACCTCCCACATGTATGTGTGTGTATGTGTAGAGTGTGCATACATGTGTCTGCCCACTGTGTGTGCCTATCCACTAGGATGCATAGGCCAGAGGTACATATAGATTGTTTTAGTGTATTGATCTTCACACAGACCCTGAAGCTGCATGTGTTGGCTAGGTCGCCTTGCCAGTCAGTCCATTTGTCTCTACCCACCAGCCAGCACTGTAGATTGCCATGCCTGGCTTTTATATGGGTGCTGAGGATTTGAACTTGGGACCTCTCGCTTTCACAGCAAGTACTTTTATCCAGTGAGTCACACACAACCCAGCTCCATACATATATTTAAATCTTGCTGCTGCTGGGTTGGTTTTTGTTTTGTTTTGTTTTTTTTGTGTTTCAAGACAGGGTTTCTCTGTAGCTTTGGCTGTCCTAGAACTCACTCTGTAGACTTGTAGACTAGGCTGGCCTCGAACTCACAGAGATCCACCTGCTTCTGCCTCCTGCGTGCTGGGGCTAAAGGTTCTGCCATCACTCCCTGGCTTAAATCTAGCTTCTTAATATGAGGAAAAGTCATATTGTTGGAATCTGGCTTGTTTCATGTAATAATCCAGTTCCATCCATTTTCCTGCACATTTCATTCTTTACCACTGAATAAAATTACATTGTATGCATGCATGATGTTTCCTTATCCATTCTTCTGGGTATGGGCTTCTAGGCTGGCTTAATTTCTAGATTGTTGCAGTGAGTATCTCTGCCCACTTTGTGCCTGGATTTGCTCTCGACCCAGGTGATTCTGAAAGTCTTTACCTTAGGCTAGTGTGTCACAGCCTTGAACACGGAGAGCCACCTTGCTGACCTTGTGACAGTACGGCTGAAGTTGGGGGAATACAATGAAGCCAGAAGGTCCTAGGGCTTCGGTGGGAGAGTGCCCTCGGCTACTCTAAGCTTGGAACTGCTGCAGGTGTGTTGGGCACTGGCCATTGGTGTGGCTGTGCAGATCTTGGCTTGGCCAATTTCTGGTTCTGTCACCATGAACTGTTACTTTAGTCCCTCATACCTGGAACTAGGACCATTTCTTCCAAGCAAAGAAGTGTAGCTGGGGCACTGAGCCTCCCTCTGCCCCCAAGGTTCTTGTTCTTGATCAAAGCATTCACAGACGCCGAAGGGGACTTGAGGACAGACAGTTTGATCTGTGCTAGAGAGGGATTACTATGAGCATAAGGGTCAAAGTATTGGGAGAAGGTAAAGAAGGGAGACAGCCTCCCCCGCAGTAGAGGTTCTTTTAAATAGAGTTTGCGAGACACGAGGAAGACTAGGGTCCGAGGCCTGCTTCCTTGTTCAGGGTGCACAGCGGGTATTAGGTGAAAGAGCAGCTCGATTCTTTGGATCCACCAAGGAGGAAGTGTTTAATCTTTGGCTAGCTAAGAGTTGCTGTGTGTGGCTTGGAACTGGAAGGAAGCTCCACTTATCTTTTAGCTTTGGGCGCTGACAGAATAGCACTGTTTACTCTCACCTGCCCAGCTTCACTAGTGGGGCCACTTTCAAGCATCTGCTCATTGCTTCAGCTTTAACCCCTATCAGCCACCACAGCCTGCCTGTGATCGTTATCTTCTGAGTTTATTTTGTATCTAGCCCCTGAGGGCCAGTGCCTGAACAGGAGCTCTGGGCTGCTTGGAGAGTGCTCTGTAACCTTTGACATAGAACACACGCACGCATGCACACACACATGTACACACCTGTAGAGGTCTGCAGGCAGCCGTGGATCCCTGGAGCATATGAAATCCATTTCTCTACTACAGAGACTTTGCACTTTCTTACCTCGTCTCCCTGTGTCCATCTGACTTTAGGCCGCCTCCTTAGGTTATGACACTGGAAGTGTTTTCTTCAGTGTAGAAGTAGAAGGGACCTTGCCTCGAGTCCGCTCTCCCCCAGTCCTAATGGGGGACAGGGGCTTCACACACCTGTGGCCCTCACACCACAAGGTCTCAGAGAGCTGACCTTGACAGTCACTCGACCTTCCCTCCTACCTAGCTCCCATTACAAAGAAGCAGGTTGCACTGCAGCCACCGGTGTGGGTTTGACAGGTCTCAAGTGTGTCTTCCAGCCTAGTGGGCCACAGTTACTCATTACCAGCATCGCCTCTGAGGCCGCATTTATGAGCAGGAGCTGGTGAGAGAGGAAGAGAACTTCAGTGGGCTGTGAGAGCCTGATATTGAAGAGACTTCAGGGTGCTGCCCGAGCTGGTTGGCAGGTGAGGCCCTGGCGTATGACTGTGGGCCTCGGCTCTGCTGTAGAGGGGTGGGGGCTGGAGGAGTTTAAGAGGTGGTAGACCCCTGGAGAAAGTGTAGTCCACCTCAAGAGCAGGACAAGTTAGACTTGGACAGGAGGCAGGCTTCGAGGCAGCTGGATGTACATGGAGTGAGCTGGGGCTACCCTGGGTGTTTTCAGTTGTTCAGAGCAAGACCCCTGGACTGTCAGTCCTTGGTTGGTGGGGGTGGGGTGTAACAGACTAACTGTGGGGCTTGCATGCCTAGATAGTCAGGCTAGTGCAGCTGGTGTTCCATCCCCTGTTTGTTTCCCGCCCTGCAGCTAGGATTGCCCAGATGTGACACCATTATGCCTTAGCCTGCAGAAGTTCTGAGACCTATCTTTCCAGCAGCATCTGGTCTGGTCCTCCCACCCACATTGATATTCAGGTGCCGTTTGTGCTGGGGTTTCTCTTAACATCTTTACCCTTGACCCTCTATAGCTCTGGTTGGTAGACCTTTATGGGGGCCCTGGTAGCCTTAGCCATTAGTCTACAAGTCCAGAGAAAGGCTAGCAGAGAAGTCCTCTCTGAGGGAAGAAGAGCAGGTCCTAGGGAGATAGGTTATGAACGCAAAAATACTTAGTGAAATACCTCGAGTCATCAGTGCTCCATGGGATAAGGGGTGCGGGCTGCGAGCTGGCACAACCCAGCTGTCCCTGGATTGTCGGAACCCTGAAAGGATGAGCCGCCCCCGGGTTGCTCACTAAACTGAAATCAATTCATTGGCCACCTGCACGTGGACAGTCACTGTGGGCCTGCCACCTCTGACTTGCCTCCTCCTTCCCTCTTGCCTTATAGTGGACATCCTCATCATGGATGACGACGACGTCCCCAGCTGGCCCCCGACCAAGCTGTCCCCACCCCAGTCGGCGCCTCCGCCTGGGCCCCCGCCTCGGCCGCGGCCTCCCGCACCCTACATCTGCAACGAGTGCGGCAAGAGCTTCAGTCACTGGTCGAAGCTGACCCGACACCAGCGCACGCACACAGGCGAGCGGCCCAACGCCTGTAGCGACTGCGGCAAGACCTTCTCGCAGAGCTCGCACCTGGTGCAGCATCGGCGCATCCACACAGGCGAGAAGCCGTATGCCTGCTCTGAGTGCGGCAAGCGCTTCAGTTGGAGCTCCAACCTTATGCAGCACCAGCGCATCCACACGGGCGAGAAGCCCTACACCTGCCCCGACTGCGGCCGCAGCTTCACACAGAGCAAGAGCCTGGCCAAGCACCGGCGCTCACACAGTGGCCTCAAGCCCTTCGTGTGCCCGCGATGCGGCCGCGGCTTCAGCCAGCCCAAGAGCCTGGCGCGCCACCTACGGCTGCACCCAGAGCTGTCAGGGCCGGGTGTGGCGGCCAAGGTGCTGGCGGCCAGCGTGCGGCGCGCCAAAGCGCCCGAGGAGGCTGCGGCGGTGGACGGCGAGATCGCCATCCCAGTGGGTGACGGCGAGGGCATCATCGTGGTGGGCGCACCGGGAGACGGTGCTGCAGCAGCCGCAGCCCTGGCCGGAGCAGGGCAGCGGGCACCGGGGCCGCGGTCGCGGAGGGCTCCGGCGCCCAAGCCATACGTGTGCATGGAGTGCGGGAAGGGCTTTGGGCATGGGGCCGGGCTGTTGGCCCACCAGTGCGCACAGCACGGGGACGGGCTGGGGGCAGCGGGTGGCGAGGAGCCTGCACACATCTGCGTGGAGTGTGGTGAGGGCTTCGTGCAGGGCGCTGCCCTGCGGAGACACAAGAAGATCCACGTGGTTGGGGCGCCTTCGGTCTGCAGCAGCTGCGGACAGAGTTTCTATCGGGCAGGTGGGGAGGACGACGGCGAAGATCAGTCGGCCGGTGCGCGGTGTGCCGAGTGTCGTGGTGGGGAGGCCCGGTAGGGACGGGGGTGCCCGAGGGGTGGGCAGGGCCCCTCGGGCTCAGTGGGGACTATCAGCGAGCAAGACCACGAGGCCCAGGGAGAACCGGACCGGGAGGATCAGCAGCTTCGCTCCTTCCTTGGCCCACGCTGACCCGGGTGTGAGGGGTCCCGCAGTCATCGGGGCAGGTTCTCAGGACTGCCCACAGCCTCTCTGCTGACTGGCACCGGCCCTGTGTAGGTTCCCACCCTGGGAACCAGAGACTATGTGAGAGAACTGTGTAGATCAATCGGCACAAGACCCTCAATAGAGAGGCCATCCCCCACTGCAGGTGTGGGGCTGCGGTGTCCTAAGGAATGGAGGGATCCTGGCCTTGTGCACCAAGAGGGTCTTTCTTCCCTTCTAGAATTTTCTTTTAATCATACCTTTTTGGCCCTTCCCGTTCATTAATTTTTCTGTCCCATGGGCCCTTGTCGATTTTCTAGCCCAAGTCGTTCCTCTCCCTCCTGGATTTGCAGTAGCAGAGGAGTGAAAAAGTAGCCTGTTCCCATCACGGTCTCATTGAGAGGACAGAGTCCTGTGTGCTCCCTGTCCTGACGGTGAAGAAGGGATGTGAGGGCAATAAATGGCACTATTCAATTGATCCAGCACTGCATGGTTTTTGAGTTTGGGACGGAGAAGTGAGAGAGGTTAAATACAAGTGACAGGTGCCAGACTAGGGGTGACCATACTGGGCCCAGACTGCTCTCACCTGGTTCCAGGAAAGAGGCCTGCTTGCTGAGGAGCTCCTGACTGACCTGGTCACTGAATGTGGTCTGCTCCCGCTGGGCAGAGTTCAGACGCTGACATCTCCATAGAAGGGTGCAGCTCCCAGAGACCCCAGTGCTGTGACTCATCCAAGTGCTGGTTACTAGGGAGCCATGTATCTGCACTCTGCAGAGCAAGCTATATCGTGATGACTGCTACTGTCTCAGGGGAGGAAGCTGAGCTAGGAGTAGTCATTGTCTCTGGACCCAGCACCAAGTGAGGATAGGATGTTGGCATGTTCTGTCCAGGTTCTGCTCAGTGCCAGTCCAAGGCATCTCCCAGAACACTACACCCGCAGGATCAGAAGGCACCTTCAAGTGTTAGGGTGTAGTTTCCTGGGCCCACAGTCCTCAGCTCAATGTCGCCTGTTCCTGAGCTTGGAAGGCTGTCTTGTGGACCCTGCCTGGGAGTACATTCAGCCTAGTCTGCAGAAGTGGGGGGTGGGCTGTAGGTTCCTTCCAGCCATCCCAAGGAGTAGGGAGGCTTCTTGTTAATGGATGTTGGAGGAGTCCTGAGTGTGTCCATCTGTATCTGTCCATCCTGTCCCATCTGAAGGTTGAGAAGGTCAAAACTGAAGGTCACACTGGGCAACTGGTGGGTCAGGACGTGACAGTTCTCTGGAAGATTTACAGTAGTAGGCCAGGAAGACGCTCAGGTGTTCACTGCCTGGCTTGGGTGAGTGGGTAGTATCTGGTAGGTACTATCTCAAAGAGTTACGTGTGAAGCAGCCACAGGTTCGTAAAGATCACAGAAATGTTGCTTAAGAACTCTTCAGTTCTTTCTGCTGAATGCTGACCTGGGACATTGCTGGAGGCCAGAGAGGGGAGACTGTGTTGAAGATGTAAGCCGGAGCCTACCGCCAGGACATGGACACGCTCTGCTTCTTACAGGCTGTGCTACTCTGGGCAAGTGAACCAACCTCTCTAGTCCTTGATTGGCTTTCTCCTCTGCAGAAGGAAGAGCTGGGCTGTCTCATGAACTGTTGAAGGTGATCTAAGCCAGACGTGGGGTCATGGGCCTCTGTCCCTCTCCCAAGCAGGGGCTGAACGCAATGGTGAGGAGCTGGTACTTAAATTCCGGCTCTGCGCTATCCATTTGGGCCTCAGGTGCTTAATGTAACTCAGTGAATAGAGAATTCACTGAGCAAATGTGTCTGCACTTAGGGCAGGGTGTCATGCCTTCCCCTGGAGTCACCACCTAGTCCTCAGCCTGAGGTGCGGCTGTCCCAGTGGACAGGTGAACAGGTGAACAGATGAACAGACAAGACTGGGCAAACTTAACTTTGGGAAGACAGGCGGTGACAGTGGAAACACCATTGGTGTTTGCTTCTGCGCACGCCATGCCATTTAGTGGCTCTGCATCCATGATGCTATCCTTTTCTCTAACTTTTTTTCTGTTGTGTGTGTGTGCATATAGAGAACAAGTTACAACAGTCTGCACACTTTCCACCACCTGGGTCCTGGGGATCGGAATCTGGTTGCGGCAGGCTTAGCAGCAAGCATCTTTACCCACTGAACCACCTAAGCTCCCAGCTCTGCTTCCATGTGGAGCTGCTGCTGTTACAGCCAACATGGATACAGTCTGACCCCAATCCCTGTGCAAAGTGGAACACCCCTCCCCCAATCCACAGTCCCACCCCCACACTCTCCTGAGTCAAGTCCTACCCGGTTGTATTTACTTAGCATGTACTATACATGAGGGATTCACCTGAGTTCCAGGAACATGGTGGTGACCTTGACAGCCACAGTCTGTGCCCTTGTGAAGTTTGCCCTCTGGGGTGAAGGGAGAAACACCAGTAAGGCACAACACAGTTGCTTAGAGAGGTGCCAAGGGCGTATGGGACAGACAGACACGGGAGAGAGGAAAGCACCCCGTTGGTCTCCTCCCATCTCTGAGTGCAGTGCACATTCAGGAGCATTCATAGTGCACATGTGCTTTCCAGTGTGTCCTGGAGGGTGGCTGGAGGAAACAGTGATGTGTGGAGAAAACTGGGCTCTCTGCGCCAGTAACTTGGGAACATGCCAGATTCGGTGCCTGGCATGTGTCATGATGCTAGGTACCCTTCCCCCAAGCTTGTGTCTCTTGGAAGACCTGAAAATGGCACACCCCTTCCCTGCCCAAACCCATTCCCAGCTCGTCATGAAGCCGCATTCTCTGCAGAGCCGGCTGTAAGGGGTGGGATGCTCCTGTCCAGTGATGAAGGGGGCCATGGGAGAAAGAGGAAGAGCAGGAGCAGCAGGTACTGCTTGGGATGTAGTATCCAGTATTTTCTGAACTTGATCAGTCAGGAAATCTTTCATTCATAGAGCATCTTGGGGCTGGCTGGTATGTTAAATCCCACCACGGTGGGATGTTCTGCCTGTCAGCACCATGGACAGAGAGCCTGAGAGCCCGGCCCTACGTTTCCCGGGTGCGCCCACAGGTATCCTGGTCTGAGGGGAGCAGACTAAATAGGGGAGCACTGTTGCATTTTCCAGCAAAGGAAACCGAGGTCAGTGGAGGCTGAGTGCTGTGCTCCCCGTAGATGAACAGTGGAGGTTAACCATTCAGAGTCTTAAGTCCATATACCAAGTTCACTGAAAACAGCCCAGAGTCCATTGTGTGCACTCTCTCGCATGTGGCACCCAGAGGACGACTTGCAGGAGTCCTTTCTCTCTTCTAGCACGTGGGCTCTGGGGATCAAACTCAAGTCACTGGTCTTGGCGGTAGGTACCTCGACTTGCTGAGCCGCCTCATCAGCCTAGACTATCTTGACAGATACCATTATTTGGGCAGGCTGATGGGAACTACGCTGGGGAAATTTGGGTAAGGAATTCAGGAATTTATGTTTGGTTACAGTTTTTTTTTTTTTTCCGAGATGGGGATTCTTTGTGTATCTCCAACTGTCCTGGAACTCCCTCTGTAGACCAGGCTGACCTCAAACTCACAGAAATCCACCTGCTTCTGCCTCCCGAGTGCTGGGATTAAAGGCATGTGCCACAACCACCTCGCGATTTTTTCTAAAGTCATGGATACTTGGAGTAAATACTACTAAATCTACCTATACCATCTTCAAGAGTCCTTACTCCATGTGTCATTCATAGGCAATACTTAGTACAAAAATAGGGCATATTTTTAGGGTTAGCATAATGTATGTATGTATGGTATGTGTGTATGTATGTATACACACACATGCACACATACATGCACACACGCACACTACATGGTATCTTGTAGTCCAGGCTAAGCCGGAAGCTGCTGTGTGAAGATGACTGTCAACCCATCCTCCTACCTCCACCTCCCCGTGTTGAGGCTGCAGATGTGTGCTGCCTCACACAGCTGAAAAACGATGTATTTCTGGGGTCAGAGAGATGGCTCTGTGGTTAAATGCACTTCTTGCTCTTGTGGAGGACCTGGGTTCAGTTCCCAGCACCCACATCAAAACAACTCATAATTGCTTGGAACTACAGTTCCAGGGTATCTGATGCCCTATTATGGTCTATGCAGGCGCCTGCACCCACATGTGTGCGCATGTGAGCACACAAACTCACAATTTTAAACTACGACAAATATGTTTGTACTGTGCTCATGTCTGCCTCTCCCTCCCTTCCAACTCGCTCGTTGGTTCCTATGGCCCTATAAACACTCCCCTTCTGCTTTTATGGCATACGCTCAGAGAAACACATCTGGTTTCTGCACCTGGGAAAATGTCCACTAGAGGGGTTAAAGAATTGCCTTTTCAGGGCCAGTGAGCTAACCCAGCATGTGGAAGCGGCCATGGAAGCCTGACAGCATCACTTTACTCCCTGGTTTCACGAGGTGGAAGGAGAGAACTGACTGCTAGAAGGTGTCCCTTGACCTCCACACGTGTGCTGCAGCATCCATGTGTCTATGCCCACACCGTCACACTTCCAGAGATAAAATCCCTTTCAACGTGAGCGTGCCCTGCACACCACCCTTTATTTACACACCTGTCATTTACCAGCACCCATCGTCTCTTGTTAGTAGATTACTTGTCTACATAGGAACCGTGTATCTCCCATCTACCCCTCTCTGTCACCCTCTCCGGACCACCTAGGATCCAACCCAGGGCCTTGTGCACATGCAGTGAGTACTCTGCCACTGAGCTAGACCCCCGGCTCCCATCGTCTCCATCAACTGTGTCTTTATCTGGGATTCTCTCCCACTCTCTCCCTTCCTCACTCTTTCCCTCATTCTCCCCACTGTATCTCTCTTCCTCTCTATCTCCCTTTCTCCTCCCTTTCCCCTTCCCCATCCCAACCAGGCCTCAAACTTGCTACACAGCCGAGAAAACCTTGAACTTGTGATCATCCTGCCTGCCCCTCCAAAGTGCTGGGATCACAAGCGTATGCCATTATGATGGGTCGCAAGTGCTGCTGGGGCTCAGATCCAGAGCTTTATGCATGCAGGCAAATACTCTGTCAACTAAGCCGCAGGCTTGGCCCTGTCTGTTTCTTTGAATAGCAGCCGCACATCTCCCTGCATGGACACAAGGGCTCCAGTTCATTCTTGGAGGATGCAGTTTGTTTTTGGCTCCCTGCTGGTCACCAATACCACTGCAGGAATCTATGCCCATGAAAGAGGTGTGTGCGTGCATGTGTATGTGTGTGTGCATGTGCACATGTGCATGTGTACATGTGTACGCGTGTGTGCATGTGTACATGTGTGTGCATGTGTACATGTGCGTGCATGTGTGTGTGTGTGTGCATGTGTACGTGTGCGTGCATGTGTACGTGTGCATGAGCATGTGCATTTGCTCGATTCTGATGGCTACAGCTGTTTCACTCCTGAGACATGAGACTAACTTACAGTGCTCTTTAGCAAGCGGTGCACATGGTGGCTGCTGACCCCCCACCCCCACCTTCTCCATTCAAGGCACTGTCATGGTGGACGCCTGATTCTAGGAAGGGGAGTTTAATGTCCACCAGCTTGGATCATCGGAGCTGTCACTTCCCTTAGATGGAGAAGGCGGACCCAGAGAATCGAGGGACTGATGGGGGCTTCTGAGGTGGCACAGTAAGTCTGGCCTTGGCCAACAGTGTCCACTAAAGACCTGGCTGGGGCCAGCCAAGTGGCTCAACAGGCAAAGATGCCTGTCTCCAAACCTGACAACCCGAGTTCCATGCCCAGGACTCACATGGTGGAAGGAGAGAGCCCTTGCTCACAAGTACTCCTCTTGATTTCAATTTCTTCCCTCCCCCCGACAGGATTTTTCTATGTAGCCTCGGCGGTTCTGAAATTTGCTCTTTGACTTTGAACTCAGATCTGCCCACCTCCCGAGTGCCAGCATTAAGGTTGTGTGCCACCACCCTGGCTCGCCCTCACTTTCGCATGTGCCTGTCATCCCTGCCCCCCAAAACAAAAACCACAGATGTTAGGAAAAGTCATGGCTGCATCGTGTTCACCACAGACCCAGCCCTGCTCAGAGAGGTCGCCCATCCTCACGCGATGGAATATCCCGCACAAAGGAGTGAGGATATAACTCACAGCCTGGGTCAGCTTTGCCGAGGACAGACAACCCCAAAGGGCTGTGACTTCCCCATCACAGAATCAGAAATTAGCGGACACCTTGGGACAGACTGTGCCTTAATCAGTACTTTGCAAGGGTAACGGGAAAGCCTTTGGGTGCTACTGAGATTTCCATGAATAATGTAGGTCCCTGGCTCTCCGACCCTGGTCAGGGAAATTTGTCCCCTGCAACATCTAGGGACAATTCTGGTTGCTGCAGCTGGAGTGGGTGAGTCTTCCTGGCATGTGGTGTGTTGAAGACAGGCATGCTTTTCTGTATCCCGCAGTATCCCTTGACACAGAAGGCAGCCCCAATGTCAGGAAATGTACCAGGAATGAAAGAGAACCATCCTCTCCTCCCGCTCCCCTGTTCTGAGACACAATGCTCTACTGCCATCTGGTGTTCACTGAGAGAACATCAAGCGCGCAAGAGAAGACGGGATTAGGGAACCTGAAACTTTTCAAGGGCTGTTCGCACACACCTCGACTAAGGCTTCCCGGATGCACGCCTTTAATCCCAGCCCTCCGGGAGGTGGAGGCAGAGGCAGGCGGATCTCTGAGTTCCAGGTTAGACTCCAAACAAAGAACAAAGAACAAAGAACAAAACAAAACCAAATAAGGGTTCCCCACCTCGAATCAGCCAAGACAAACTGAAATGTTGAAGGTTCTCAGCTGATAAATATTCATACTTAGAGTAAGCCCCAAACGCTGTTTGTGAGGGTGGTTTTCGTTTAGCCCAAGGCCAAGCAACCTGACCTTTGGGCCTTTCCTGCTGGACCTCACTGCTCTCCAGACAGGTGTGGGAGGAGCTCGAGCACTGGACTCCTTGTCCCTTGACTGTCAGACTTATACAGTGGCTATTGACCTTCCGTTGTGTTTATATGTACAGGCATTTTGCCTCCATGCATGTCTGTGCACATGTACATGCCTGGTGCCCCTGCACGTCAGAAAAGGGCAGTAGATCCCCGGAACAGGAGTTATAGACGCTTCGGGTGCTGGGAATCAAACTCAGGTCCGCTAGGAGAGCAGCCGGTGCTCTTGACCACTGCGCCGTCTTTCCAGCCCCTGGAGGCCATTTCTGCATCCATCCTTGCAGGTGGGACAAGCAATAAAGGCTGTGAGAGTTCAGGACCTCTGCCTGCCCATACAATATACACAGCTGCTGGGGATCATATGGATCAATCACTACCATATTTTCTATTTTCAGATTTTTCCCCCCAGATTTCTCATGTATCCCAGGCTGACTTTGAACACTACACAGATGAAATACCCTTGACCTGATTCTCCTGCCTTCCCTGCTGGGTGCCGAGATTCCAGGGCCATGCTACTACCCCTGGCTAATAAGTGTTACTATTCAACACAAGCATGCATGGTGGCTGTGTACCCTGTATCTGCACAGCAGATGGTCAAGGTGGCTAACAGTGTTCTGACAGATGGACACTTCCCAGGCCTTGGGGAGCTACAATGGCCCCTTATACCTCCACCCATTCTCACAGATCATGTCACATTGGCTAAATGGCTGGGTGTTACAGAATGCAAACTCTCCCAGGATGGGGGAGGCATTCTTGCAAAGATGCTCAAATAGGGTCAATGCTAACGACATCAGCACAGAATAACTGCATACTTATGGAAAAATAAAAATATACATGTGACCAGATGTGCTAATGTCAGAGTACACGTGTTCAGCTCGGAGGGCAACTTGGGGACTCAGCTCCCGCTTTCCCTCGCTGAGTCTTAAGGATCTAACACAGGTTGTCAGTCTTGGTGACAAAGTGCCTGTGCCCGCTGGGCCATCTTGCTCCCACCTCCCAGAAATAAGCTTTTCATTCACTCGAAGGGTTGGTGTGGGAGTCAGGCTAATCACCTTTTAGGCTTTTATTTTTCCTGTTCAAGACAGGGGCTCGTTATGTAGTTCTGCTGTTTTAGTCCTAGAACTCTGTAGACCAGGCTGGCTTCACACCCACAGAGATCCGCCTGCCTCTGCCTCCCAAATACAGGGATTAGTGACATGGGCCACTATGCCTGGTGACTTTTAGGCTTGGCTTCAGAAATACTGCTTGAATAATGGGGCTACAAGCAAAGCAGTCTGAGGCATGTGGAAGGCTCTGAATGCTTCCTGAATGCCCCGGATTTGATGATGGTGCCCAGAAGTAGACTTACTGGGTTTGAGTGACAGCTCTCCATGGAAAGATGGCAGTTGTGTCTAAGGCACTGTGACGGTCTGCAGAGATATGAGATGTATATATGTACCACGGGAGAGCATCAGGGAGATTGTCTAGGGGCAGCAGTTCTCAACCTGTGGTTCACGACCCCTTTGGGGTCACATGTCAGGTACCCTGCATGTCAAGTCTCCTGCATGTCGGATATTTACAATTTATAACATCAGCAAAATTACAGTTAAGTAGCAGCAACAAAATGATGTTATGGTTGGAGACCTGTATTAAAGGATTGCAGCATCAGGAAGGTTGGGAATCCCTGGTCACTTTCCATGTGTTGTGTGCACATGTATACGGGCACACGTGCTTGAATATGAGCATGCATGTGGAAGGCTGCAGGTTAACTTGGGAAATCATACTCCATTGCTCTCCCACCTTGCTGAGACAGGGTCTCTTAGCCAAACTCGTGAATATGGCCGGTTTTGCTAGGCAGTCTACCCTGGGGACGTCTTATCTCTGATTCTGGAGGTTGGGAAGGCTACCACGCCTAACCCTCATCCTGGTCTTCATACATGCATGGCAAGAGCTTCTTAACTGCTCAGCTAGCTCCCCAGTCCCAGATGAAGATTCTTAACAGGCAGGGGGAAGGAAAGAAGCAGGGTTTCAGGCACGCACCACTAACCTCTCTGCATGGACCATGTGGTGCTGAGGATGAGCCAGGGTTTCCTGCGTGCTGGGCAGGTGCTCTCGACCGACTGAGCTAGCTTCTTCCCAGCCTGCTCATGCTCAGGATGTCTGCTCTATATTCCTGCCAACAAGGCGCTACCCAGACTTAACTCTAGCCAGCAGACACAGGGCAACTTGCAGGTGAACATGCCTCTGCACACCAACCAACGGCTGTTCTTGCCTTTGGAAAATCAGCTAATCGGAAAGGAACTCACTGATGAACACGGTCTAGTGCCAACCAGCTACCTTTGAATGAACTTTGTGGCAGAACACCTCTAGGACGCTAAGCATCACTCTCAGGCTGTGTCGCTGGTGTAGGCCTTGAGAGTCTCGCTACCCTTTGATAGGTGTGCGCTTCAGATAATGAATGTGTAACCTTCATTATCTGAAGGTTAATATGGAGGCCTTCAATCCTCCACCTCTGCTTTGAAGATGTGTGTGTGGGGCTCAGAGGACAACCTCAGGCGTCACACCTCAGATGCTGTCCACCTTTCTGTATCTTCTTGTTCTGGAATTCTCTGAGGAGGTTAGGCCGGCCAGCCAGTGAGTGCCAGGGATCCTCTGTCCCCTCCACGTGAGGGTTAGTGTCACCAACTGAGCAAGCCACGAGGAACAAGCCAGTAGAAGCATTTCTCCATGGCCGCTGCTCCAGTTCCTGCCCCGACTTTCCTTAGTCATGGACTATGACATGGGAATGTTAGTCAACTAAACCCTGTCCTCCGTAAGTTGGTTTGGGTGAGGTTTTTGTTTCTGGTCCTCCACCAAGACAGGGTTTCTTTGTTTAACAATCCTGGACGTCCTGGAACTCACTTTATTATAGACCAGGCTGGCCTCGAACTCCTTGAGATCCGCCTGCCTCTGTGGCCACCACCGGTCAGCTTGGTGCAGGTGCTTTGTTACAGCAACACAAAGCTGATGACAACAGGGAAGACTCACCCTGCTGTAGACAGCACAAACAGAAAAAGGGCGTGAAGCAGCAGTGCCTTCATCCCTCACTCTGTAGGTGTGATGGATGTGGCCCATCTTCCCCACCAAGATGGGCTGTCTCCTTGTGAGCCATTAGCCAAAAATCAACTGTTTTCCCCTTCAGCGAATTTTGTCAGAATCTTTCCACCTCTCCCAGTGCCGGGATTACATGCATGCGCCAACACATCTGGCTTTTTAACATAGGTTCTGTGTATCAAATTCAGGTCCTCATGCTGGCATGGTACGCACTGTACCCACTGAGCCGTCTCCCCATCCTACCTCTGCCCTCACGCCATACCCTGACTGATCAACATGACCACCTGGTGCTTTTTTACATGCTAAGTATTTATTTTCATTCCTGCTACATCCTCTGAAGCGGGACAAACGTTTTCAAAGAGGTCCTAGGCCCTGAAGCGGGAGGGCGACTCACGCCTTCAGTTTTTCCACCAGTTCCGGTCATCTTCGTCTAAGGAATACCAGTCACCATTGATCACTGTGTGGGGCCTGGTGAGCTGCAACTCCTCCAGGTGCCTTCTCACCTTGGCATGGTACTGCTGCTTCCACAGGCTGGGAAGAAAGGACTGTCACGCTAGGACCCATCTTTGACCTGTTCCCCCCTTTCTCAGATGTCCTGGGAGTCAAACCAAGGACTACAAACATTTTGGAGAACTCTCAATGAGAGTAGTACATTTGCCACAGTTTAAAAGCACTGGGGGGGTGTGTGGCTCCCAAGGCCCCATCCCCAGTGGAAGAGGAAGAAGAATCACTTTTCTTTCTTTGGGATGTGGCCACTGGTGGCTACTCATTCCCCAACCCCCAAGGATGGCTCCACATCCGTGTGCATGTGGGCTGCACTAACTGGAGGCAGTCAGCCAGTTAACTAATTAAAAAGAGAGAGAGAGAGAGAGAGAGAGAGAGAGAGAGAGAGAGAGAGAAGCCAGGCATGGTGGCACACGCCTTCAGTCCCAGCAGCTAGATCTCCAAGTATGAGGCCAACCTGGTTCCAGGACAGCCAGGACTACACAGTGAGACCCTGTCTCAAACAGCACAACATCCCAGCCATTCTGGGGACTCCACATGCACAGGCACACGTAGGCATGTGAACCACAGATGCACATACACTCATACACACATGAATCCACACATGTAAAAGTCCTAAATGCAAAGGAAATCTAGTCTGTGTGCTGTGTTTTGTCCCAGGTTTGAAGCACAGTGATGAACTCAGGGCAAAGGCCTCACCCATCCCACTTGAGAAGAGGGCTATTTAAACACTTACATAGCTGCAGAGAAATCCCGCTTGGCTTCTGGAAGATCAGCTGGTAAAACTGACTAGGTGGGACTGGTAGTGGTGAATGCATGTAGGTGTGCTCCAGTATGTGTATGTGTGTGCATGTGTGTATCGTGTGCTGTGTATGTGTGTATGCATGTCTGTGTATGTGAGTGTATTGTGTGTATGTGTTTTTTGTGTGTATGTGCTGAGTATGCGCATACGTGTGTTGTGTGTGTATTGTGTGTTATGTACGTTTCTGTGTGTATGTGTGTTGTGTGTATTGTGTGTGCCTGTATGTATTGTGTGCATGGTAGTGTGTTGTGTATGTGTTTTTGTGTGCGCAGTATTGTATGTACATGTGTATCTTGTGTTTTTTGTGTGTATGTGTACATATGGGTTGTGTGTTTTGTGTGTATACATGTATTGTGTTGTATATATGTTTTTTGTATGTGTGTGCACGTGTGTGTGCACTGTGTGTTGTGTGTGTATGTGCACACACATGCAAGTGTGAAGGTGGAGGACAGAGGTCAGCATCATTGCCGTTTGTCTTTCTCCCTATACCGAGAGCTTGCTGACTGGCTAGGCAGGCTGGCCGGCCATGAACTCCAGATCTTCTGTTCTGTGTACCTAGCGCTAGGCTTGCAGGTGTGTGCACCACCACATCTGGCTTTTGCAGGAGTTCTAGGAAGCAGAACTCTCAAGCCCTCAGGCTTGTATGGGAAGCACTTTACAGACAGCCATCTCCCCAAGCCTGCACCAATTACTAAGACCATACTCACCAACTGGTCCCTGCCAAAGACAGCTGGGCCTTGTGGCTCATGGTAAAATTGCCTCTCTCTTTCTTTTTAAAATTATTTTTTCCAAGACAAAATTTCTCTGTGTAACTTTGGAACTCGTCCTGGCACTGGCTCTGTAGACCAGGCTGGCCTCAGACTCACAGAGATCCACCTGCCTTTGCCTTTGATCCCGAGTGCTGGGATCAGAGGTGTGTGCACCACCACCTCCTGGCTCCAGCTGGTTCTTTAAACCAACATTCTGCCCTTTGGGCTTGTTTGCTCATGCACCTTGTGAGATGTTTATGTAACGACTGCCAGCCTCACCCAGCCAGGGTTGCCGACCTACCGCCCCTTCCCTGCCACCTCCAGTGGTACACTCCATCCCTACAGTCACCCCTGGCTTTATGCGTTTATAGGCATGTGCTAAAACGTGTACTCTGGATACATTCTGTGGCTCTGATCGGAGCAGTCACTCAACTGAACCACCTCACCACCAACGTCATCTGGGCTGCCAGCCCTATCCTCTTTAGCCAAATTCTTTGTTTTTGTGGGCAGAATCTTACCCAGAACATACTAGGTGGGCTAGCCTGGCCTCAAATGTGCAGCAGCAATCCTGCCTCTGCTTCCTTAGAGCTGGGACTACAGGCATGTGCCATTTTGCTCGGAATTTCAGCCAAATTACTTTCTTGGATTCTAAGTACACTTGGGCACGTGAGATGGCTCAGTGGATAAAGATACTTGGCTGCTAACCCGTCAACCTGAATTTTATCCCAGGACCTTCATGATGGAACGAGAAAGCTGGCTTTTGCAAGTTGTTCTCTGACTTTCACACATGCACATAAATAAACAATATTTTAAGAAATGGATGTGCATGTGTCTGCATGCATAATGCACATGCAGGGCCCACAGAGGCCATAAGAGAGCACGGAGACACCGAAATTAGAGTTATAGGCTGTTGTGGGTCACCATGTGGGTTCTGGGGACAGAAATCATGCCTCTGCAAGAGCAGCAAATGCTTTCAAGCATCAAGCCATCTTTCGAGTCCCGCTCCATTTAATTACAGTTGCTTGCATGAATAGGGTGTTATTTATCAGAGCACAGCAACTTCTCAGCGGCTCCATTCAGTATTTATCATGCAGGGCAAACTTGTCTATTTTTGGCTGAGATAGAGTCTCAGGCTGTGGGCTACGCCGTCCCGGAACTCACTATGTAGTCAAAGCTCGCCCCATGTTTGTGGCAATTTCTTCGTCTCAGTCTCACAAGGGCTAGGATTGCAGGTATGAGACTCAGCAAAATGAACCATCTTAACCACCGTGGGGCGCATCCGTGGCATCACACTAACAGCTATACTGTAGAGCAACCACATCCGTCATCCAGAGAACTTGCCCATCATCCCAAACTGAAGATCTGCAGACATTGTATGGGGACTCTAAATGTTCCTTTCCCCTTTAAATTATTTTGGCAGTGCCAGGTATGGAACCCAGGACTTTACATATCTAAGAAAGTTCTCTCCCACACCACTCGGCCCTCTTTGTCTCATCCTTTAGCAACCTCCAGTCTTCCTATCTTGAGTCTAAATCTAGAACCGTGGTGCGAATGGCTACACAACAGCTGTCTTTGTGACTGACTTCTCTTAACACAGAGTCCTTGTGTCTTAGCCATGATGAACAGGCATCAAATTCCCTGTCTTGAAAAATGCCACTATAAACATGAACATACTAATTATCTCTTTGACATTTTTTTCCCCCCAAACAGGGCTTACTGTGTAACCTCGGCTGTCCTGGAACTGTCAGCAGTCCTCAACCTGTAGGCCATGACCCCTTTGAGGTCCCACAAGAGACATCCTGCATACTAGATGTTTACACTACGATTCATAATAGTAGCAGGGTTACAGTTATGGAGCAGCAATGAAATAATTTATGGTTGGGGGTCACCACAGCACGAGGAACTGCACTGAGGGGTCACAGCATTAGGATGGGTGAGAACCAAAGCTTTGATAAAGATAGTTGCCAAGCCAGGGATCCCAACTACTTTCAAGTGCTGCTGCTTCTCCGAGTAACATGTCAGAGAGTCAAGTTTATGTCTCAGGAGACGATCGGTAGGGACTTACCCAATTATACGCAGATTGGAGGCGAAATGGCGGAAGGCATAACACAGCTTCAACATCCCCGGCGTACTGAAGTTGTTCTTCACCAGGTTGAGGCTGGTGAGGTGCTGGTTGTAAGCGAGGGTCGACGACAGGGCCTCACAGCATTCGAAAGTCAGCCCACACGCCTCCAGCCTACCCGGAAGCCCAAGCAAGAATCGGTCATTCAGCCCAGAAGAGCTTCAACCCAATGTTTAAAAAAGGTGAGTGGGAAGCCGGGCGGTGGTGGTGACCCATGCCTTTAATGCCAGCTCTCGGGAGGCAGAGGCAGGCAGATCTGAGTTTGAGGCCAGCCTGGTCTATAGAGCAAGTTCTAGGATAGCCAAGGCTACACAGAGAAACTCTGTCTAGAAACCTCTCTCTTCCCCCCAAAATGATATTGCTCCAGAGACTCAAAGGATAGGGAAGTGCATGAAGGAGGCAGGATGTCTGGACATGCACATCCACGGACGCTGCATGGACCTGCTCTAGTGGGAGGACCCTAAACAGATAACCACGTCCAGGTCAAAGCTTGGTCAGGGACTATGTGGGACATGGAAGGCTGACAACTTTACAGTAAAGGGTTAGCATTCAAGGGAAATGGATAGACTAGAGATCAGCATATTAAATGAATTAAGTCAGCTTGGAAAAGACAAATATTGCATTGTTTTCTGTTCTCGGAGCCTAGATTATAAGTAGATACATGAAGTCATATACGCTGCTAAAGTAGCTGCGAAGCTGTCCAGGGCAATGAAGGGGACTATTGGGATGGGAGCCCATGTGAGAGGGGAAGGCTCGGAGGTGTGTGTGTGGGTCAAATGGTGTATGACATGGTCAAAGTAACTATATATATATATATATATATATATATATATATATATATATTTGTATGAGAACATCCCTGTGAAATCCAACACTATCTAGTATGAATACATGGCAATAAAAAATTAGGGCTTTATCCCGAGAAGAGCAGCATGCCAGAGAATATCATTGACAAGGGCACTGGAAAGACAGCTTAACAGTTAAAAGCATTTGCTGCTCCTGCAGAGGACTGGGGCTTACTTCTCAGCACTCCCGTCGGGTGGCTTACAGCTGCCTGGAACGCCAGCTCCAGGAGAGCTGATGCCTTCCTTCTGGCCTCTGTAGACACAAACAAGCATGTGGCACAAATAAAGACAAGCAGGCACACACACCCGAGCACACATGGCAAATTCTAAATAAAAAGATTAAGCAGCCATGGAGAGCTTCCTCCTGTTTACCTGCACACTCAAAAGACTGAGACAGACACATAAGATCCAGGCCACGTGGGCTGCGCAGAAAACATCCACCTCTAAGGAAAGAAAATCAGTGGATCATGGTCTACCAGAGTGCTCTGGTATTTGAAAGGTCACACTGACTAGTTTTGTGTACGCACACATGTGCGTGTTTGCTGTGCACGTGTGGAGGTCAAGGGACAATCTTCTACGGTTAGTTCTTGCCTCTTTCTATTTGAATTCCAATGTCGGAACTCAGATTGTTGGGTGCCTTTACCTACTGAACCACATCACCGGCCCATATTCTAGTATTTAAAACAATTACTTTTTATTTACGTGTATCATGTGTGTCTGTGGGTGTGCACGTCTGTTAGGATCTCACAAAAACCTCACAATGTAACCCAGATTGGCCTCAAACTCAAGAAGATTCTCCTACTCCACCATATTGTGTGCTAGAACGACAGGTGTGAGCCACCGTATCTGGGTAGCACTCTGGTCAGGTGGTTGAGATTCTGAGAATAAAAGTCTTAACCACTGGTGTAACTGGTTGCTTTGGGTTCATGTTCCCCGCCAGAGTCTATGTGCAGCACCACCAAGGCCTTAGCTGTCTCTGTTTCCACCACACAATACCCAGTCCCCAGCATTGAGCCAATCACAGAGGGGAGGCTCAGTGAGAGTATCTGAGAGCTCCCACTGCTAGACCCTGACACCCATCACAACACCACCCTGGGGTCACGGCTCAGGTCCCTCCCACCACCTCCTCTGAGCTCAGCCCCTCAAAGAGGCGACCCTAAGAGATTACCCGAGTCTCCTCAGGGAGCTGTTACTCTGTTTCAGCCCCTTGCACAGGGTTATGACTCCGTTGTCACCCAGGTCGTTGTAGCCGAGGTCCAAGCTCTTCAAGTGCTGGTTCATGGTGATCATGCTGGCCAGATCCACACAGCAGTCCCCGGTAAGCCAGCACTCCACCAGTCTGCGAGGGACACGGGAAATCCACGTGCTCAGCGGGGAGGACTAGCACAGGAGCAATATTCAGAAACACTCGGAACGGCTGCCTTTATTTTCTCCTGAGAGGCTGTCTTGGATAAGGGGTCCCTGCCACCACGAGTGATGATCCTAAGCTTCATCCCCTGAGACTACATGGTCGAAGGTGAGAGCTGCTTTCTGCAAGCTGTCTTCTGACCTCCATGTGGGTACTGCTGCCCATAAAGGCCCTCACTCCAAATAAGAAAACAAACACATGCAATTTAAAGGGAGACAGCCTTTGCTGTGTATGGAGTATGCATGTGTGCATATGTGTGTAGGTGGGTAGGGGTGTATTCACACCTGTGCATGCCTGTGGAGAGTCCAGAGATTGACATCAGGCACACGCCTCTATTTCCCTATGCTTTAAACTTGTCATTTTAGGAGACTTGCTGGCCAGTGATCTCCTGGGATCTGCTTAGCCGCCTCCTCCCTTAGTGTTGGGGTTATAAGCACATGCAGGGGACACCTAAGTGAGCTCTGCAAATCTGAATGCAGGTTTTCATGTTTGCTAGGCAGGCCCCATCCCCATGAGACAGCTTTCTATCTGTTCTCACAAAGGGTGCAGAGTGGGTAGCACGTTAGCCTCATGAATGGCGCAGAGTGGGTAGCAGTGGAGGGGAACCTGCAGCAGGTATGGATGAGTTGAGGCATCTTTGGAAAAATAACTGTGCCAGACTGGGAGGCGTGGCTCAGTGGTAGAGTACCTGGCTAAGATCCCCCAGTAAGGGGTGCAGCTCAGTTATAGATCACTTGGCTAAGATCCCCCAGTAAAGGGCTGGGGGCGTGGCTCAGTGGTAGAGCCCCTGCCTAGAATCCCCCAGTGAGGGGCTGGGGGCGTGGCTCAGTGGTAGAGTGCACATACAAAGATCTTGGTTCCATTCCTGGAGTACTTCAAACAGAAACAACAAAAAAACAAAAACCAAAACCAAACAGACAAAACAAAACAAAACCCAACCAACCAAAAATCACCAAACCAAATCATCTCTGAAGAAATGAACAAACTTCGAGGGGTCAAGGGTGACCCTGAACGCGTAGTCCTGCCTTGGGGCTCCTGTCACTTTCCCCAGCCGGTGTGACTGCAGAGGACTGAGCACTTGACCTTAGTCTCGTGTCTCCGTGTCCACCTCTCTTGCCGTCTAGAAACCTGGGTGGCAGAGACGACGTTAGCCACCCCTGCTACTCACTCCAGCTCTTGCAGGTGACAAGTCGGCTCCTTTATAGCCTCGCACAGAAACTTCACGCCGTCATCCGCCACTGGGTTCTTGGTCAGGCTCAGGTGCGTCAGCGTTCTGTTGTTGATCAGCGTCAGCGCCAGGAAACCACAGGCGTCTCCTTTGAGGTCGCACTGGTTCAGTCTACGGGGTCACAAAGGGGAAGAGGATGGACAGGCACTGCACACACAGGGTACACATTGACCACTGCTGTGAGACTTAAGTGGTGGGTGGTTAAAGACCCTGGCAGTTACTGGGATACTTATTGGCACTGGATACACTCGAAGCGAGAGCACCAACCGAGCTGGCAGGATGGCTTAACAGGTAAAAGCGCTTCTCGTTAAGCCTCAGAACTTGAACCTCCCATTCTCTGGGAACAACATGGTGGGAGGAGATTACTGACTCCTAGCTTCTCTGCCACCCATATGCATACTGTGGCCGGTGTGTGTGTATGTGTATTTGTGTGTAGGTGTGTGTGTGTATGTGTGTGTGCATGTGTGTGTGTATGTGTGTGTAAGCATGTGTGCGCACACACACGTGTGCACAGATTCTCCAAACCTACTTCTCCTGTATTTTAATAGAATTTCAAATATTTTAAGTCACACTTTACGTTTGTGTGTGAGACTGCACATATGCTATGGTGTGTGAATGGAGGTCAGGAGAGCTGATGAAGCTGGCTCTCTCCTTTCACCGTAATAGGTCCCCGGGGTCAAACTCACACTGTCAGACTTGACAGCAAGCACCTTTGCCTGCTGAGGCATATCTTGATGGCACTAGTTTATATTTTTAAGACAGAGTCTTCAGTAGGCCAGGCTGGCTGGGAACTCCTTTTGTAGGTGAGGATAACCCAGAATATTCCTGCCTCCGCATCCTGAATATTGTAGTTATAAGGTAAAACACCACCCCACCATGCTCGGGTTATCTTAACACACTTCCTGGTTTATGATAGACACACGTATATGTTTTCAGATTGTATTTACTCTGTGTGACAGTGAGTGCATATCGCAGTGTGTGTGTGTGTGTGTGTGTGTGTCTCAGAGGACAGACACTTGGATGTGACACTTGGCTCTCTCCACCGCCATTAGGCATGGCGGCCAGCTCCTTCACCTGCTGCCACACCCCATATATGTTTTGTTCACACGATGTTACCAGTGGACCGACTGTTCAGAGAGAATAAACAGCAAGACGCCAGCCCCTAGTAACCAGAGTAAGCAAACGGCATTGATCCGAGTAACAAGAATCTCTCACTCTGCTAGGCCAAGATTTCTGGCTGAAGATAACAGAGGCTGACGAAATTACATGGAAACACGGCCTGACAGCAGCCATGGGGAAGTCTGTTCCTACTGCAACCCACATGTGGCCTTCTAGGAGTTGCCAATCCCATACATCTGCGACCTTAGCCTGAGTCCTCTACATCCACCTAAAACAGTATTTTCATGGGTGTGTCCATGCTCATGTATGTGCGTGTGTGGCGGCCATGGATCTGCTCCTCATGAGTTATTCACTTTCATTTCTAAAGATTTTTAGTTTATATGTGAAAGTGTTTGGATGCAGTATGTTTACTGTATGAAGTACACATGGAGGCCACAAGAGGGCATGAGATCCCTGGAACTGGAGTTATGGATGGTTGTGAGCCTCCATCTGGGTGCTAGGAACCGAACCTGGGTCTTCTACAAAATCAGCCAGTGCGCTTAACTGCTGAGCCATCTCTCAGCCCAACCCTAGTTTGTTTCTTGAGACAAGGCCTCTAACTGGCTGCCTAGCCAGCCCCAAGCTGTGCCTGTCTCCTGCTCCTCAGCACTGGGATTAGACGGGTGTACCAACCACCTGTTTTAATTATCAGGCAAGTTCAGGGGATCCCAAGTGAGGTCTTCATGCATCTGTGGCAGGTGCTTTACCGCTGAGCTGTCCGCTCAGCTTCCCTGGAAACCCCAATCAGTTCTCTCACACAGACTCTCAGCTCTGTAGAAACAGACACCGCAGGCCCTTTCCAACACTGTATTACCGGTAACTAACACCAGAGTCCTACACATACTGGGTGTGCTGGGTTGAATATAAAATATCTACCTAAGGCTCCTGTCTGAACACTTGGTTCCCAGTTGGGGGTGCTCTTTAGAGAGGTGGTGGCCTTACTGGAGGAAGCATGTCACTGGTGGTGTGCTGTGAGCCCCCTCACTTCCTGCTCTGCTTCCCATGAGTGTATAAAAACCTGCCCAGCTGTTTTTCCTGTTCTGCCATTTTGTTTTTCCTGACCGTTGCTAAGCCTCCCCCACTATGCTGGACTCTATCCCTCTGGAACAACAAGCTAAAATAAATTCCTTGAAGTTGCTTTCTGCTGGGGTGTTATAACACATTTCCCACCCACACACTGTCTTTCTGGCCACCGCCCATCACTCCCTTTGAGAACTGAGAAAGGAGCCAGACTCACATGAGCCGCTGGAGAACGCACCGCGGGCCTTTCATGAACTGGCACAGCAGTCTCACGCCTTCGGTCCTTAGGCTGTTGTTGGACAGACACAGGTGGGTCAAGGTCAGGTTGCCGGAAAGGGCTGAGACCAGGCCGTGGCAGCTGACCAGGCTGAGTTCACAGCTGTCCAGTCTGCAAGAAGAGCCCCCCCAGAGGAAACAATGAGGCCCGTTCTTCCGGTTTCCTCCCAACACTCACACCATCGTTTACCACAGCACTACCCAGGACGACTAGCTATGGAGCCAACCAGAGTGTTCAACTGCAGAGCAGCTGACACGGAAAACGTGCGTGCAGGCAGCGGGGCATTTTCACCATAAAGAAGAATGAAGTTGCGTTGTTTGTAGGAAAACGGAGGCAACCTCAGACAGGTGTACTAAGTGAACTAACCCAATTTCATTTGTGGTTTCTAGATCTAAATTAAAAAAAAATTATAAGTGTGTGTATATGTGCACGCTGTCTGGGTTCCCAAGGAGGCCAGGCGAAGGCATTAGATTCTCTGGAGCTGGAGCTAGAGGCACCTGGGAGATGCCCAGTGTGGGTGCTGGAACGGAACCCAGGTCCTCTGGAAGAGCAACGATGTTTAGCTGCTGAGCCACCTCTCCAGCCCCACACCTTGGTTGTTTTGAGACACGGTTTCTCTGTCCAGTTGTCCTGGAACTCACTCTGAAGACCAGGCTGGCTTTGAACTCACAGAGATCCGCCTGCCTCTGCCTTCCAAGTACTGGCAGCATCACACTTTAAAGATTTTTTTTTTAAAAAAAGAATTACATATTTTTATGAGTAATAAATTAATAGTGTTTTGCCTGCATGTATGTCTGTGTGAGGGTGCCAGATCCCCTGGAACTGGAGCTGTAGACAGCTGTGAGCTGCCATGTGCTCACATGTGCTGGGAATTGAACCCAGGTCCTTTGTTAGAACAGTCAGGGCTCTTAGCTGCTGAGCCATCTCTCCACCACCTCATACTTTTTAAAAGTACCTTTTACTTATTGATTATGTGCATGTATAGGGGCACAGTGTGTTAGTTAGCGGGAAACTGAAAACAGTCAGTTTACTCTTTTACCACGTGGCTTCAAGGACTGGGCTAAGATCACTAAGGCTTGGTGGCAACCTCACCAGCCAGCCCAAGATTTTATTTTGTGTGTGTAGATACACACAACCGTGTGTGTATAAATATCATGAGAAGAGAAATGGTCCAGGAGGACCAGCGTTGGCTATGGGTGAGAAAATATATGGGAGTCAGGGTGTGGAGACGCTGCAGACAGTATATCCAGGTGTGGGGTCTGGAGGACCGGCTCAGTGGTTAGAGCGCTGCTGATCTTCCAGAGGACCCTAGTACAGGCTCCAGCATCTGGATAGATGGCTCCCAACCACCTGTAACTCCAGCTCCTGGGGATCTGATGCTCTCTCCTGTCCTCCGTAGGTACTGCCCTAACATGCAGATACCTACAAGATAAAGTAATTCTCAGTATATACATGTACAAAAAATTTAAAAAATTTCCTCTCCTCTCATCCCCTGGGTTTTGTCTGTATGTGTGAGGGCATGTGTGTGTCATGGCTCTCCTCTCATCCCTTGGGTTTTGTCTGTATGTGTGAGAGCATGTGTGCGCCTTGGCTTTCACGTGAAGTGCAGAGGACAACTTGGCGGCTGCCCATTTTCTTTTCGCTATATGGCTACTTGCTCTGGGGATACTGTCTCTGACTCCTTAGTGCTGTGTAATCCTTCAAGTCTATCTGGATTTATGTGGGTTCTGGGGAACTGAACTCTGGTCCCCATGCTTGCTCTACATGCTTCTTACCCACAGATCTACTTGACCAGCACACCTATTTCCTGTGTGTGTGTGTCTGTGTGTCTGTGTGTAGAGCTCAGGCCTCCCTAGATTTGTTATGGCCCTTCTGTCTTTGCCTCCTGGGTACTGGGATTACAGTCGTATACAACCAGACCCTGTACCAACCATGCCCCATGTTCTGTTTTGGGCTTGGGCTTGGCCAGGCAAGAAGGATGTCACTAGTCACTGAATGAAGAGATTATCTCTAACCATGGAGTCAAGTGTGAACTAACTCACTTGGCTCATGTAAGCCTCATGCTCCAAAGGCAATCTGTCAGTACACAGGTCTTGGGGCTGATTCCTATTACTCTCCCTTTGCACAGGAAGGGGTATGATTGAGTGGACAGGGTCTCTCTGATGCCCCACACCAGGGCTTTCCTGTGAGGCCTTAGAGTGCAACATCTGCCACTCCACCCATCTCCCAGACATCTGGGCTCGACGGTCAGAGAGCGAGCGGGACTCACATCAGCTTCTCCAGTGCACACCTGGAGCTACTCAAGGCCCCACAGAGCTGCCCCATGCTCTTTTCTGTCACCCGATTTCTTGCCAGGCTGAGCGACTTCAGGCTGGTGGATGAGAGAAGGAGCCCGGAGATCATGCTGTAAGAAGCGGAGGTCAGCTCGCAGGAATCCAGTCTGCAGAGACAAATGATAGCCTGAGACATTTTCTCATCCCTCCTGAGTAACCCAGGGTCACACACTCTTGACTCAGCTACTTAGGAACTGGAGGTGGGTGCACACAGATAGCTCCCCCTTTCCTTTTCCCTATAGTAGCCCGGCAATGCTTTTACCCAGCACCCCATACCTCACAGATACAATAAGTTATTGATGATTTGCTAAATGAAAGAAAGTGCTGGGCTGATGAGAACGCTTGAGGGTCAAGGAGCTTGCCGCCAAGACTGAGACCCGAGTTTGATCCCGGGACCCATACAGTGGAAGGAGAGAACCCATTCCCACAAGTTGTTCTCTGACCACCCACACAGTGGCACGAGCACACACATACGCACATGCGCACACATAAAATTAGTAAACACAATCCAGTGCAAAAGAACGAAAGTGGCAACTCCTCGGCATGACTTGACAGGTGGCCCATGTCAGTTCTAGCTCAGAAAGTTCGCCGTGGTCACATAGCCACTCAAAGAAAACCCTGGATGTTGCACATGACCCCTTCTTTTCCTCTGGAGACAAAGCCTCACGTAGCTCAGGTTGGCCTCAAAATCGCTAAGTAGCCTAGGATGATCCCGAGCTTCTGCTTTTCCTGCCTCTACCTCTTGAGTGCTGGGATTTCAAGGTAGTGATGGTTCAAACTAAAGTGACACTTCCGGCATGTTGGACAAACCCTTCAACAACCGAGCAACACCCGCAGATTTCCCCACACCGCTTTTCTAGAGACAGGGTCTTGCTAGGCAAACCAGGCTGGCCTCTGAAGCTCACCGACCATGGTTCCAGGTACACCCTTCCCAGCATGCAGTATTTGCTTTCATTCTTTTCTCACATATATTTAATGTGTGTGTGCACATGTGCTACAGTGTACCTGGGGAGGTCAGGGGACAGTCATTTCTCTCTCCCCCCCATCAACTAGGTTCTGGGGATGGACCTCAGGTCACCAGGCTTAGTGACAATCTCTTTTATCCACTGGGCCATCTCACTGGTCCTGTTTAATTTTTACAAAACACTAAAGTGTTTCACTGTGGCATTTATACCTTAAAACCTACTATTTGAGATGCTCCCTCTGCTGGCACACAGTCCGTTCTTTTTCTCAGTTCTCCCAGCGAGAGTGTTGCCAAATCAGTACGGCCACGTCTCTCGAGTCCTCTATTGAAACTTTCTGGAGACTACTCCAGCTTCTCAACTGAAAGCCACACCTTTGATAACCAGAACCGAAACTCACCGCAAAGTCTCCAGGGAGCAGTTAGGGTGTCTCAGCGCTTCACAGACTAGCTTGACATCGTCACCCTTCAGGAGTTTATTCCCCAGATTGAGGTATTTTAAGTTCCGATTGCCAATGAGGGTCATCCAGAGATACCGAAGGCCAGCGGCTATCTCTGCACCCTTAAGACTGCAGAAAAGGAAGAGAGATGAGGAATACAGTCACATCCTAATCCTTTTTTCTCTGAAATTATAGCATGTTTGCTCATTGTGTGAAGACAGATTACTGTGATTGGTTTACTAAAGAGTTGAATGGCCAATGGCTACGCAGAAGGTATAGGCAGGACTTCCGGGCAGGGAGAAAGGAAGTAGATGAATCCAGGTGCTCGTCAGACACCAACAGGGCTTGAAGGGAGTCAGAGGTACAGAGTGAAAAAAAAAAGGTAGAAAGTCGTGGCAAAATGCAAACGACTAGAAATGGGTTAAGTTCTGGGAGCTGGTGGGACAGAGAGACTCACTGCAGCCTTACCCTTCTACACCAGTTCTCTATGCTGGAAACTCTTAATTGTTTCTGAGCATCTACACAGCCTTGTGCTGACCTTCATCCTGCTTCCACCTCTCAAGTTCTGGGATTACAACCCTGTGCTATAGCACTCCAATTAATTTTTTTCTTATTAGAGACGGGCCTAATTTATCCCAAACTGGTCTCACAAACTCACTCTGTAGCCTTGTTTCCTCAGCTATGCAGTGTGAAAGTTACAAAGCGAAACAATCTTTCTTCCCCAGGGTACTTTTGGTTGTTTCATTTGGGGTTTCTGTTACTGTGATAAAAATACCATGACCAGAAGCAGCTTTGGGAGGAAAGGGTTTAACTCATCTTACAGCTTGTAGAGACCGTCTAGGGAGGTCGGGGCAGGAACTCAAGGCATTCGCTAGCCAACAAGAACTGGAACTTGCCTCAAAAGTCCATGTCATGTGGCTTTTCCCTGGGTTGCGAGCGTAAGTTAAGGAGTGAGTTGTGTTTTTTGTTTTTTTTGTCTAAAGAAGAAATGATGTTTATTCTCCTACCTCAAGATCTGTGGCATCTGTAGCAGGCTCTGAATTTTGTTATTGTGAGAGCATGGGGCTGCCCCTGAAGGACAGCATTTATTACCGAAGGCCAGTCCCGTGCAGGGCCAGCCTCCCCACAGCTCTCACTGGGAGAGTTTAGAAGCTGTCTGGGTGGTGACAGCCTTCAGCTGAAGGTACCTGGTCTTGAAGGCTCCTTGTTACATATGCACTGCTGAACTAAATCACCATAATGTGAAATTTCTCACTATCCTAATGGCTCACAAAGTCAGACCTTTCCTTTGGTCTGGGGATTTGCTGGAGAGAACTGACAAAGGGTGCTTTCTGACTCAACCCAGCACTCCTCCTGTGATGACTTGAGCATTCTCATTCTCTCTCTCACACACACACATCTTTTTGAGACAGAGTTCCTCAGTGTAGCCCTGGCTATCTTAGAACTTGCTTTGCAGACCAGGCTGGCCTTGAACTCAGAGGTCTGCCTGTCTCTGCCTCCTGAGTGCTGGGATTAATATTCACACTCTTAATTTTTTTTAAAGATTTACTTATTTATACAGTGTTCTGCCTGTACATATGTCTGCAGGTCAGAAGAGGGCATCAGAGATCTCATTACAGATGGTTGTGAGCTACCATGTGGGTGCTGGGAACTGAACTCGGGACCTCTGGAAGAGCAGCCAGTGCTCTTCACCACTGAGTCATCTCTCCAGTCTCCGTGTTGTGCTCCTGCATGAGTGTATGTACGCCACGCAGGTGCAGGAGCCTGTGGAGGTGGCAGGAGGGTTGGATCCCCTGGGTCTGGGGTTACAGAAGTTGTGGTCGCTGTGCAGACGCTGGGAACAGAGCCCGAGTCCTTGGCAAGAGAAGCCCTCCAGCCCGCTGCCTTGCGCAGTCAGCTGCTCTGCAGTCTCTGAAGGGACACCCGCCCCTCCCCCCCAAGGCCCCATCATGTGTAGATCTTTCTATACCGTATCGTTTCTATAAATTCTGCTTTTCCACTCAAAGCCAATTTCTGAAGGGATTACAAGTCCATTTCTTTCACAGACTGACTGCTGTTACTCCTGGTATGTTTAACAATTAGCTGCACGATATTCACTAGCTTAAAGGTATCAAAGGGTAATGAGAGCTATGTAATGCATGCACCTTGACCTATTACTTCATATTCGATTACCAGCCCCCAAAGTCCGCTCATTCTTTCTTTACTAACCAACTCCTATGCATCCTTCAGAACCCACAGTAATTAAGCCTGCCTCAAACCTATGCACCTCCTGTGGTCGGATGGTTGTTAGCAAGTCTTACAGTGCACGGCTCAGCAGCAAAGGGGGGGGCAGTGGCACGGGTGGCACCACTGTCTGCAGAGAGGCCAGCAGCCAGCAGTTTGGCTGCGCCCCTAGGTGCTCCCCCCCCATTCCCTGGGTGCCTGGATCTGGATCTCACTGCTGATAGCCAGCCACCAGTCTTCAAGGTCTTTCCTGGAAACACCACTGAGGATTACAATCTGATTGTTATTGAGCGTGGTGCTGCTGCAGCAGTTGCTGGTCAGGCTGGGACTGTTCCCCCAGGAGCTCCTGGCACCCTACCCCTGCCTGGCATGGCCATTGTCAAGGTGAGCCTGTCTTCCATTACAGGACGGTGACACCTCTTAGCACAGATTTGGTAACAGCCCTTCAACTGTCTTACAGGAAGAAGAGACAGAAGCTGCTATTGGAGCCCCACCTATTGCCACTGAGGGTCCTGAGACCAAGCCTGTGTTGATGACTCTGGCTGAAGGCCCTGGGCCTGAGGGACCCCGTCTGGCTTCACCTAGTGGCCGTACTAGCTCAGGCCTGGAAGTGGTGGCTCCTGAGGGTACCTCAGTCCCAGTAGGAGGACCAGGTATCCTGGATGACAGTGCCACTATCTGCCGTGTCTGCCAGAAGCCAGGTGACCTGGTCATGTGCAACCAGTGCGAGTTTTGCTTCCATCTGGATTGCCACCTCCCTGCCCTGCAGGATGTTCCAGGGTATGTGTGAGGCTGGGCAGGATCAAGATAGATCATGGGGAGCTGGGTGTTTGTCATCACTAACGTCTGTTCTTCACCCTAGGGAAGAGTGGAGTTGCTCACTCTGCCACGTGATCCCTGATCTAAAGGCGGAAGATGGAAGCCTTAGCCTGGATGGATCAGATAACGCTGGTGTGGTAGCTAAGCTCTCACCAGTCAACCAGCGGGTAAGGGCCGGATGCTTAGATGTTGGGTGGCCCAGTGGCTGAAGCCCCCTCCATGCTTTAACTGCCATCTCTTGTGCTGTCTAGAAATGTGAGCGCGTCCTTCTGGCCCTGTTCTGCCATGAACCCTGCCGCCCCTTGCACCAGCTGGCTACCGATTCTACATTCTCCATGGTGAGTTCCAGAACGTCGGAGAGGTTGGCAATGTCGAGAAGAGGTGGGGTGTCCCCTCATGCCAATGTGTCTCCCTGCAGGAGCAGCCTGGTGGTACCCTAGACCTGACCCTGATACGTGCTCGCCTTCAAGAGAAGCTGTCACCCCCTTATAGTTCTCCCCAGGAGTTTGCCCAAGAGGTGGGCCACATGTTCAAGCAGTTCAACAAGCTGACTGAGGTGAGCCTGCAGAATGAAGAAGGGAGGGTAGGGGCGGGGGAGGAAAAAGCCAGGACCTCCTCACCGACTGTACTCTTAATCAGTCCAGGACAAGGTGGATGTGCAGTCCATCATCGGCCTGCAGCGCTTCTTTGAGACGCGCATGAATGATGCCTTTGGTGACACCAAGTTTTCTGCTGTGCTGGTAGAGCCACCACCACTGAACCTTCCCAGTGCTAGCCTAAGTTCTCAGGAGCTGTCTGGTGGCCCTGGTGATGGTCCCTGAAGCTGGGGAGCTCTTGTAGTCAGCCCAGTCAAGCTCTGGTCTCTGTCCTTTTACCCCATCCCCTCTCCTCCTTTGGTGGCCTGACTCCTGCTCTTGGTGGCCGTGTCCTCCAGTCCCTCTTCACAAAATGGTTTTTACTTCTGTGGATTTAATAAAAACTTCACCAAATTAAAAAAAAAAACAACAAACCTTATGCACCTTTTTATGAGTTTTTTTTCCAGTCAGCTCCCGTCCTGTGTTTCTGGAAACTTGTTTCATGCATCCTGTATAGTGCTCGTCCTCCCAGGGTTTATAGATGGACCCTGTCTAGGCAGGAGAAGCCTGCCAAGGGAAGGCCTGTCTTGTAGCCGGCTGGGTGGCACTTACATTAGATTCTGTATATTACAGGCTGGATTCCTCAGTTTGAGGCACAGTATCTTCATGGCCCATTCGTTCAGGCCACTGCTACCCAGATCCAGCTTCTTCAGTCTTGGATGCATGCTGAGTACTGAGCAGAAATCCTCCCACAGCTCCATGATGAGGGACTTACATGTTGTCCTGTGTCAGCAAGGAGAAAACAGAAGGATTGAACAGACTGACATCCCCTGGCGGGTACGCTAGAGTGATCAGGAGCCTCACAGCCCTCCCTGTCACAGACGACTTAAAAGTCTTGCACTCCCTAGTGGTAAAATGGTGCAGCTGCATGGTCATGCCATTAAAAAGATTTTTTTTTAAAGATCTTATTTGAAAAATTACATGCACGCGTGCATGTGTATGTGTGTCTATGGATGGGTATGTACATGTGTGAGTAGATGTGCCCATGGAGGCCAGAAGATGGCATCAGATCTTCCTGGAGCTGGAGTTATTGGCAGTTATGAGCCACTCAATGTGGTGTTAGGAAACACGTTCTAAAACACGTTAAAAGCAGGTGCTCTTTAACTGCTGAGCCATCTCTCTAGCCTGGATTTGTTTTAAAGTCTGGAGATGATACGATCATCATTTCATCTCTTGGGTTAGGTATTTCCACTTCCAGTTAGCTATGGCAATTAACGGAACAGCCAGGTATACGGCAATGGAACTACTGATACTCCTCAGTGGCAGCAGAGGAAGACTACAGGACCCTTGTCCTGGGGTGCTAGCCCAGCTCTTACTTCCTCTCCTCCCTCAGCTGCAAGTAATTTGGGAGGGTGCCAGACTATATGTGGAAATAAATGGTTAACTAAAAACACAACTCCATGACACAGTTTCCCATGAGGCCGTTGTCTGCATGAGGGAGACTTTATTAGGATGCTGTTGCTTTGAGTTACCCATGTTTCTGGAAGCAACCCCAATAAACTTGCTGTTTCACCAAAATAGTTTTGGTAGAATAACTCTAGGCTTTTGTTGGTTTGGTGGGGTGAGTAGAGGTTTGCTTGCGTCTCTCTAGGAAAACATTACAGAGCAAGCTACTACGCGAAGTAAACAGGGACCTCTAGAAGGAAGACATGGTACAGGAGCCCCATGTTGGCGTATGGTTACAACACAGTCCAGCCCCTTTAAGACATTCTTGGGAACTCCAGACCTCACAGGTCTAAAGAGACCAGATGTGCCTTCCTGCGCACATCTCTAGAAAAGTCATAGCCTGTGCTGTGACTCGCGCCAGCTCTCGACTTATGATCCCTGGCTCCCCCAGGCTTTGTGCCACGTGTCTGTGGCAAGTGCAGTAAGCTATAAGCAGAAACAGACGCAAAGAGGGCCATCAGCTGAGGCAGAGTGAGAGCACTGTGCTCTGCACTTCTCACTCGTGCATCTGGCTTTAGGTGGCGGAGAGTGATGTGCGTTTACAGGGAACAGTAAGACAAGAAGGATTATTGGAACAGACTACATGCAAATGGTGAATGGCTCATGTAGGCATGTGGACTCGGAAACAGTCAAATGCCAGCCGCTGAGATGGTTGAGTGGGTAAAGATGCTTGCTGAACATGCTTCGTGACTTGAGCTCAATTCCCGAGACCCGTGCGGTGGAAGGAGTGGACATGTGACTGCTGGTTGTACTCCTCTGACCGCCACATGTGTGTTGTGACATGCATGCACACGTACACAATAAACAAATAAATACAGCTAAAAAACATCCCTAGAAGTGGAGAGTAGCGGAGTCACCAGAGACTGGTAGGAGGAGGAGAGGAAGGAAAGCTGGTCAAAGGTCACAAAATCTCAATTAAGAGGAATCAACGTAGGAGATCATTTGCGCATCATGGCTTACTATAATATTGTGTTGCACATCTAAAAACTGCTAAAGTGATCCTAAAACCTTGAGCATCCAATCTTCCTGTAGCCAGAGATGAAGATATTTAAAAAAATTCAGTGTTTATTTTGATTTATGTGTGTGCCTTACGTGCATATAAATGCAGGTGTCCTGAGAAGGTCAGAAGAAGGTGCTGGAGCCCTGGGCCTGGAGCTGGAGCTGGAGCTGGAGGCAGCTGTGAACCACCTTACCTGGGTGCTCGGAACTAAACTCCAGTCCTCTGGAAGAGCAGCAGCAACCTCTGAGCCCTCTCTCCAACCTAGCTACTTCCATCCATTCATCTGTCCATCAATCAGACCCCAAGAAACTGCCAATCTCTCAGGAATCTCACCCTGGGAGAAGGAAAAGGCTGGAGCCTGGCACTGGCTTCCCAGAAAAAGATTCCACACAGAGCAACCCACCTTGTTGGAGAGACTGAGGCAAGGCCACGAGTCATTGGTAGGCATGGATTTTGCCTTGATCAGAACCATTTAGATGTGCATGTCCTGCACCTTTACCTCACTGCAGGATCCAAAGATGGGCTATGCGGAGGGGCATCAATAGAGACCTACTGATTTTTGTCCCTTTTTTAAAAATGTGGCAGCACTAAACAATCTTTTTTTCTGCATTTTACTATTAGTTTGGCAGTTCTAATTGGCTTACGGGTGGAAGCTGGGTTTGCGGGTGTGCACCACATCCCACCCAGTCTCTGCAGTGCTGGGGATTGAACCTTGGGCTTCATTCATGCTAGGCAAACAACCTCCCGAGATCTGTCTACCAACTGAGCTATCCCCCAGCATTGGACTCAGTGTTTTAAAGGGCTTATCCAGCCGCTAATGATGAACTAGACTTGCCAGGTCCTGTTAGTAAGTGAAGGACCAGGGGCCAGAACTGACCACCCATACATGAGCCCAAATGGTGAGACCCTTTAAGAGCCATCGGATACCCTAAATATATCTGAACGCCATGTCTTAGCCCAATAACATACAAAATTCACTAACTGACTTAGAATAAAAATCATCCGATACTCACTGCGGGAGAGTAACGGGGCACAGCTCAACATTCTTAACCACTAACAAAATGTCTCTGACATCCACCCGGAGTGTCTTCAAGTTCTGACAGTGCTGGAGACAGTAGGAAGATACCATTAAGTCCATCTTCTGGTTAATCTGAAGCCACACTTCTTGGAAGCTATTCAGAGCCCAGTAAACAAATTCTTCATCCTGAGACTCAAAGAGATAGTAGAAGGCATCCAGAACATCCGCTGGGCTGGTGGCGCTGACCTGCTGACCTAGTACAAAGACCCAATGCTGGAGCCTCTGCTTCACAGCAGAGGACACAGGACATCCAAGCAAGGCCTCCAGGGTCCTCATTGTGTCCTTGTTCATGAGGCCAAATAAGAAACGCTTCATCCCAAGGAGGTGAGTGTTGAAGTTGGTTCGTTCCAGCTTCATGATGCTTCTCTTCGGGTTTTCAATAAACAAACAGTGCCCATTCCATTTCTTCAGCCCCTTTAAAAGGTAGTATAAGGCGGCACAGAAATCCTGCAGGCTGAGGTGGAAGAAAACGTAATGCTGCTTGGTGCTGTCGTCAACCTGGAGAAGGATGTTCATGTGAAAGAGGGCTGAGATGGCAGCCTCCTCCAGGCCGTAGTTCTGCAGGTCATCATCATAGAACACCGACCTCATGTTCCACACCCCCTCTGCTGCCATGCTGCACAGACCCATCAAGACCACCTGCTCTCTGTGACTGAGGCAACTCCGAAAAGGCTCTCTTGGGGTGAGCTGGTGGAACACCAAGGTGGCATACAAACTGGTAAGAGTCCAACAGACTGGGGTGCCTCTCTCTCCCAGCTTCTCCTGTAGCTGTAGAGCCTCACAGACCAGCGAGCATACGGAGGGGACTTGACACTGGTCAAATATCTGGTCGTTCTCGATCACAGAACGGACCACGTGCTTTCTTTGCTGGTCATCAGAGATATTCTCAAGGAGTAGCTCAGTCCTCCTTGTTGCCGACAGGCCTCTGACCAATATGTAGAGGGGGGACACCGTCAATGACTTGAGCTTTTCTAGGCCCGTGTCTCTGGTGGTGATTATGAGACAGGATTGGGGTAGGAGGACCTTCATCAGGAGGCTGTACATCAGAATATATATGGGCTGCTCATCCTCCCAGTCTCCAGAGTGCCTCATGTCATCCTGCAGGAGGGCCAAGTCCAGATCGTCAAAACCATCCAGGACAAACAAGAGTCTTTCAGGTTTGGACATGATCTTTGTCATTGCAGCCTGCAAGTACGGCCACTTCTTGGAAATCAGCTCTGCCAAACTGCTCTTCTCTGTCCATTTTATTTCTCTAACAGAGAAGAAGAAGGCATAGGACATGTCTTGGTAGAGTTTACCCTGTGCCCATCCCAGAATGATACTTCTGGCCAAAGCTGACTTTCCAACTCCTGGTTTTCCATGTAAGATAACAGTATGAGGCCAGAAGGCTTTCTGGTACGACTTGAAAGCCTTGAGCAGCACCTGCATCTCTGGGCTGTCATAGTGTACTTCCACACGTGTGTCAAACTTGGCTATCACGTGGGCCTTATAGCTATGCAGGTCACCTAGAAGGTATGAGGTCAGGGAAGAGAGCAGAAGAAAAAAAATTCGAAAAACTTATTTGTAGTTGAAACTGACATGTATATCTTCAAGATAAGTCTAACAATGGCCTACAACATCTCAAAAATAGAGGAGAGGAACCTGAAGGAACTTACAGTAAAAATAAAATCTCTAATTTTGATCAGGGTAGGTAATTACTCTCAGCTGTGTTTAGAACACATCAAATAAGCTTGTGCTTGTATCCAGATAGCTGGAATTATGGGTTATTTTGAATGACTCATAAATTACCACCCAACATAAATTGCCGTGAGCCACATGGCTCTGTCCATGATGTTCACCCCCAGGGATCACAAGGAAGGTTCAGGTGAACACACAAGTGACACCAGGACCCCACCTCCTCTCTTAATGCCCTTATCATTGGCCACAGACATTTTCTTCACCTTGTTCACTTTCGTCTGCCTCGGAATCTTGTTCCTCAGCTTGAAAGAACTCTGTAAAAGGGACAGAACAAAACTGATGTAGAATTCCCCTCTGTATGCCGTGATTACCACTGATTAATAAAGAACTGCTTTGAGCCTATAGCAGAGCAGGGTAGAACAGAGCTAGGCAGAGCTAAACTGAATGCTGGGAGAAAGAAGGTGGAGTTAGTGGGAAACCATGTAGCCCCTCTGGAGACAGATGCCAGAACTTTACCCAGTAAGCCACAGCCTCATGGTGATACACAGATTACTGGAGATGGGTTAATTTAAGATATGCGTTGGGCTGGAGAGATGGCTCAGTGGTTAAGAGCACCGCCTGCTCTTCCAAAGGGCCTGAGTTCAATTCCCAGCAACCACATGGTGGCTCACAACCATCTGTAATGAGATCTGGTGCTCTCTTCTGGCCTGCAGGCAGAGTACTGAGAATACTGTATACAAAATAAATCTTTTTTTAAAAAAAGATATACGTTATCCAGAAATACACTTATGATGTGGGAGTCCCTCTGTGTGTTGCTTGTATTGGTTAATGAATAAATAAAACTGCTTTGGCCTTATAGGGAAGAACTTAGGTAGGCAGAGAAGACAGAATTGAATTCTGGGAGGAAGAAAGCAGAGTCAGAGAGACACCATGGAGCCGCCAGAATCAGACATGCTGAATCTTCCTGGTAAGCCACTGCCATGTGGTAATACAGAGATTAATAGAAATGGGCTAAATCAAGGTGTAAGAATTAGCCAATAAGATGTTAGAGCTAATAGGCCAAGCAGTAATTTAATGAATACAATTTCTGTGTGATTATTTTGGGGATAAGCTAGCTGGGCAGCCAGGACAAACAAGCAGCCCCTCCCTGCAACACGCTTAAGCTATTGGCCAAACAGTATTTCAAAAATATGGTTTCTGGAAACAAGCTCCGCCGGGAGCAGAAGCCAGGAACAAATCCAGCCCTGGGAGCCATCCCAGTCCTGGGACACTGGTAGACCAGGATTGAGCCAAAGACCTGACTCACAGTCTGTGACCTCCACTGGAACCAGAGTGGGACTGAACCAGTTACCTAAGACACAGAGAGAACAAGCTCTACCAGGAGCATATGCCAGGAGCAAACCCAGTCCCGGGACATGGGCGGATCACGATTGAACCAGTGGCCAGATCCAAAGTCAGCGATCGTCACCAGAACAGGTCTAACTCCAAGCCAGGGACTTCTGCAAGAGGAGATCCAGACCAAGATTTACAGAAACAGATCAAAGCCAGAAGCCTAGGTCAAAGTAGGCCTGAGACAGCAAACTCCAAAGAAGCAGACCAAAGCACAAGAGCACTGAGCTACCTCCAGGAACAGGAATAACCAACGGGGTAACTAGAACTGTGACACTGACTGTACCACGAGGAAAACCATCTGAACTTTGGATTCACTGGCACCTAGAAGATTATTCAACAGAATCGCAGACAGCCCCAACCACACCTATTAGAGGAAAAGATGAGTAGAATAGGTAAGATCACATGCTACACCACAAAGAGCAACACAATACTAGAAAACCTAAAGACCCTACAAAAGTTAAGACCCAAACAACCAAATATGGATGAACCAGAAGAAAATGATCTAAAAAATAACCTCAAAAGAATGTTTGAAATTCTTAAAGATGAAATGAAAAATTACCTTAAAGAAATGGAGGAAAAAGAAAACAAAAAATTGGAAGATATCAGCAAAATCACTTAAAGAAAACCAAGGGAAAGAATTCAAACATTTAAGAGAAACTATTCAGGACTTGAAAATTGAGATAGAAAAAATAAAGAAAACACAAGCCAAAGGAATTATAGAAACAGAAATCATGAGAAAAAGAACAGGAGTCACAAATGCAAGTATGAACAGCAGAATACAAGAAATAGAAGAATCTCAAGCGCTGAATAGAAAACAGGAAATAGACTCATCAGTTAAAGAAAACATTAAATCTAACAAAAGTTTAACCCAAAATATCCATGAAATATGGGACAACATAAAAAGACCAAATCTTAGAATAATAGGTATAGAAGAAGGAGAAGTTCAACTCAAAGACACAGAAAATTTATTTAACAAAATCATAGAAGAAAACTTTCCCTACCTAAAGAAAGATATGCCTATGAAGATACAAGAAGCGTATAGAACACCGAATAGACTGGATCCAAAAAAAAGTCCTCTCACCACATAATAATCAAAACACTAAACATACAGAGCAAAGAAAGAATATTAAGAGCTGCAAAGGAAAAAGGCCAAGTAACACATAATGGTAGACCTATCAGAACTACACCTGACTTCTTAGTGGAGACAATGAAGGCCAGAAGGTCATGGTCAAGCATTATGCAGACATTAAGAGACCACGGATGCCAGCCCAGACTACTATACTCAGAAAAACCGTCGATCACCATAGAAGGACAAAACAAGATATTCCATGACAAATCTAGATTTCACCAATACCTAGACACAAACCCAGCCCTACACAAAATACTAGAAAGAAAACTCCAACCCAAGGAAGATGGCTACACCAACAAAAACACAGACAATTGATGATCTCATTACAGCAAATCCTGAAGAAAAAAATGCACAAATTAACATCACCAATGATGAAAACTAAATTAACAGAAGATAGCAACCACTGGTCATTAATATCCCTCAATGGAAATGGACTCAACTCACCTATAAAAAGGCACAGGCTAAAAGATTGGATACAGAAACAGAATTCATCCCTCTTCTGCATACAATAAACACATCTCAACCTCAAAGACAGACATCGTCTCAGAGTAAAGGGTTGGGAAAAAATATACCAATCAAATGGACCTAAGAAACAAGCGGGTATAGCTATCCTAATATCTAACAAAATAGACTTCAAGCTAAAATCAAGAGAGACAAAAGAAGGTCAACAAGACAAAATGACAGCCTACAGAATGGGAAAAGATCTTCAGTAACCCCACATCAGACAGAGGTCTGATCTCAAAAATATACAAAGAACTCAAGAAATTGGATACCAAAAGAACACATAATCCAATAAAAAATGGAGCACAGACCTAAACAGAGAACTCTCAACAGAGGAATCTAAAATGGCTGAAAGACACTTAAGGAAATGAACATCCTTAGTCATCAGAGAAATGCAAATCAAAACAACTCTGAGATTCCATCTTACACCTGTAAGAATGGCCAAGATCAAAATCACTGATGACAACTTATACTGGAGAGGTTGTGGGGAAAAGGGAACACTTCTGCATTGCTGGCGGGAATACAAGCTGGTACAATCCCTTTGGATGTCAGTGTGGCAATTTCTCAGAAAATTAGGAAACAACTTTTTTCAAGACCCAGTAATACCACTTTTGGGTATATATCCAAAGGATGCTCAATCATGCCACAAGGACATGTGCTCAACTATGTTCATAGCAGCTTTGTTTGTCATAGCTAGAACCTGGAAACAATCTAAATGCCCCTCTACCGAAGAATGGATAAGGAAAATGTGGTATATTTACACAATAGAGTACTACACAGCAGAAAAAAATAATGGTATCTTGAATATTGCAGGAAAATGGATGAACTAGAAAACATTATTTTGAGTGAGGTAACCCAGATACAGAAAGACAATTATATGTACTTACTCTTAGGTGGTTTTTAAACATACAGCAAAGAAAGCCAGCCTACAAACCACAATCCCAGAGAACTTAGACAACAATGAGGACACTAAGACTTACATAGATCTAATCTACATGGGAAGTAGAAAGTATAAAAAGCAAGATCTGATTAAATTGCGAGCATGAGGGACCTTTGGAGAGGGGAGAGGCAGGGAGGGGAGTATAGAAAATGTAGAACTCAATAAGTATTATAGGAAAAATAAAATATGGTTTCTGTGTGATTATTTCGGGACTGAGCAGCTGGGAACAAGCAGCCTCCTTACAACACAAAATCATCTAGCACGGTTATGACTGTTAATGCCATCTGTGTCGACTCCCCACGCCCCAGGCTTAGGGTGCATAGAGGAAGAGGGGGCAGAAAGAGCGTAAGAGCTGGAGGGTGGGGAGGAGAGCTGCCAGATGCTGTGCTCTGCACACACTACTGCTGCTGCACACATGGAGTCGTGCAGCTGTGGTCACCTGCACAACACAGGCAGTGAAGATCCCGCCACAGATCGGGTTGGGGCTCTGGGTGCTCTCTTGCTGGCTGTGGAAGTCTCGGCATTTGGAGTCACTTTTGTTTAGGGGTGTGTCCTCTGGTTGGTTGTTCTATGTGTATGTGTACACATGTGTGGGTAGATTCATGCGAACAATCAAGGGTATATATGTGAACCTGATGCTGACTTTTGGTGTCTTTTGCAATTACTCTCATTCTTAATTTCTAAAGATGCATTTGTTTTTATTTTATGACTATTTGGCCTGTATACCTTGTGCATGCTATGCTTGCTGAGGCCAGAAGGCAGCAGATACCCTAGAACTGGAGTTTCAGATGACTGTGAGCTGGCACAGGGGTGCTGAACACTAAACCTGTTCCTCCGGAAGAGTGGCCAGTGCTCAGAACTGCTGAGCCATCTCTCTGGAACCCAATCTATTTTTTGAGACTTTCTTACTAAACCTCAATCTCACCAATATATCTAGACTTGCTGGCCAGCCGGCACCATAGACCCTCCTATGTCTGCCTCCTCCGTGCTGGTATTACAGGCACATACCGCTCCCACATGGTCCTTTAATATGGGTTCTGGGACTTGAACTCAGATCTTTATGCAGCAAACATTTTACGGACTGAACAATTTAAGCCTCAGGACTCCATCTTATTAATACAGCTAGTTATATACCTAAACACAGCTCCATGCAGTTTAATGCAATCTATATCAAGAGTCCAGCTGGCCTCTAAGAAACTGTCAAAGTGATTTTAAGGTTTATGATAGAATCAGTGGGACTGAGAATGGCCTCCAAATTTTGCAGATAAATGGAGAGTGTCAATAGATCCTGAAAGAAACAGCATTTAATTCAGTGTGTGTGGGGGGGTAGTGGTATAAGGACAGGCTTATAAGCCAGACAACTAGAACTGAGAAATCCCAAATCACCTTCCTGCACCTCTGTCTAGACAATTTAGTAGAATTGTGTGTGTGTGTGTGTGTGTGTGTGTGTGTGTGTGTGTGTGTGGGGTATGTGGAAAGTTCAGGTTATGAGTGTGGATGACCATATCAGAGGTCAACCTTAGCTTTCATTCCTCATGAAGCACTCCCTTTTAAAAAAAGATGTTTAATTTTAATTTCATGTCTGTGTGAGTATGTGTGAGCACTTGTGCCTGCAGAGGACAGACGTGTTGATCTCTTGGAGCTGGAGTTACCAGTGGTGATGAGCCACCTGATGAGGGTGCTGGGAGCCAGACTCCAATCCTGGATGTACACACATAATTCAGGGGGTCTAACTGGGCTGCGGTGGCACACACTTTTAGTTCCAGCACTCTGGAGGGCAGAGGCAGGCAGATCTTTGTGAGTTTAACACAAGCTGACCTACAGAGCAAGTTCTAGGTCAGCCAGGGCTACACAGAAAAACCTTTCTCAAAAAACAAATAATACAACAACAAAAAAGAATTCAGGGCTCTAATTCTTTAGTTAAAACTATATACCACGTGGCTTTAAGTGTATCCATGTTTACACCCAACCCTGCCTGCAAACCTGGTGGCCGTTCATCATCTGATCCTTCGTCATTCTGAACTGGTCCACTGCCTTCTTCCGGGTTACACACTAAGCTTTCTGCAACAGAGAGGAAGAGGAATGCTGTTGTGAGTCACAATCTGATTGCCCCAGCTGGGGACGAGAACGCTTCATATCCAAACTACCGAGGGGAATGAGAGCAAGCCTCGGCTCAGTTTATGCCTGGAGTTGTCTGTAATAGGACATAGTTGGGCCCTTCTGCCTCAAGAGCACAGAAAAGCAGCTGAGACAGACAGGCGAGGATGCTCCAATCTGCACTTTACCCATGCGTTCTATAAACTAGCTCTGCTGAGTGGCTTTGGGTGGGTGACCCAATGAGGTGCTGGGTCATAGGTATTAAATTTTCATTCGTCGTCCTCAGTGCCTTCAAATTTCAGACCTACATAATGAGCAATTACCTTAATACGTGTGAATTATCTGATTAGAGGCTTCTTCGACCGTGTGTGTGTGCTAATATACATCAAGCATGGGTGTCTTTACTCTGTAGGCACCTGCCTGGTTTTTGAAAAAGATTATAAATTTTGTTTTATATCTGTGTGCATGCAGTAAGAGGATTCATGGAACTGGAATTACAGGCAGCTGTGAGCCACTTGCTGTGGGTGTTTCGAATGGAACACTGGTCCTGGGCAAAAGTAGCAGGTGCTCTTAACCACTGAGTCATTTATCCAACCTCTGCTGCGCTGGTTTGAATGAGAATGGTCCCCATAGGCTTATATATTTGAACGTTTGGTTCTGCAGTTTGAGAAGGATTAAGAGGTGTGGGCTTGTTGGAGGAGCTTTTGAAAGCCCACACCAGGCCCAGTCCCACCCTCACTTGTGTGTGTCTATGGATCAGACAGCTCTCAGCTACTGCTCCAGTTCATGCTTGCCTGCCTCCAGGCTGCCTGCCATGAGGATCACAGACTAACTCTGATGCTGTAGGCAAGCCCCCCATTTAACGGCTTTCTTTTATAGTTTGCCTTTGTCATAGTGTCTCTTTATGGCAATAGAAAACAAGACACCCATTCACCTATTTTTTTTCCTAGACAGGTTTTCTACTAAATCTGGAGTTCACTTAAGCCTTGAACTCCAGCCTCTGCCTCCTAAGTGCTAAGATTATAGGTGTACACCACCATGTCCTATTTAGCACTGGGGACCGAACCCAGCTGGGGCTTTTTGCATGCTAGGTGAGCATGCTACCAGTGAGCTACATTTTAACTTACAATCATTTTCATTCATTCAACATATTGTCCAAAAAAAAAAATCTAATGCATGATCCTTAGTTCCCTAAACACCACCCAACACAGACTTGATCTAATGTTCTGCCTTCTTAGGGCTCTCAGTGTGGTACTGTGTACTCAGAGAAAATAGCAATAGGTTCCCAGCAGTTGCTAACAACCAGGACCCACTTTTTCAGATCCGTTCCACTTGGGGACTGTTAAGTTATGTAAAGTCTGTAAAGTCTGGTATTAAAAGGAACTCTAGCAGGGCGGTGGTGGTGCACGCCTTTAATTCCAGTGCTCCAGCAGGCAAAGGCAGGTGGATCTCTGTGAACTTAAGGCCAGTCTGGCCTTCATAGAGAGTCCAGGCCAGTCAGAGCTATACAGAGAAATCCTGTCTCAAAAATAAGAGTAAAAAGGAATTCAAAGGCTAGCAAGATGACTCGGTAGGGAATGGAGCTTGTAGCCAAGCCTGCTGACCCAGGCTCGATCCATGCGACTTAAATGGCAGAAGGTGAGAAGGAACTCCGGTTAGTTGTCCTCTGACCTCTAAATACAAATAAACACGTAAAATACAAATAAACACATATTAAAATTATATCCAATAAATGACCCAAATGTAGATAAGAAGACTCTAAGACCAGCAGTAAGACAGTGGCTCAGAGGGTAAAGGCCATTTCTCATAGAAGCCTGGTGTCCTGAGTTTGATCCCCAGAGCCCGTGTAAAGGGGTAGAAAACCAAAATCATTCTGATCTCCACATATATGACATGACATGTGTACATACACAGAAAAACATTTTAAACACAATCAAGAGACAATTTCAAACAGGATAAAGACCTGAACAGAAATCCCTCCGAGGTAGTTAGATGGGTAATGAACGCACACAAATCCTGGTAACCGCCAGCAACCACAGAACAGAAATGGTTCCTCACCTGGCACTAGCCCAGTCTGTTTCAGGACTATACAATCCTACATTTCTTATCTTCTCAATGTGGCCTTTGACAAAACAATGTAGCAATCCGAAGAAATGCCCTCTTTGGGGCTAGAAGATGGATCAGTGATTAAGAGCACCAGCTGCTCTTCCAGAGGACCCGACTTCCATTCCCAGCACCCACATGGCAGCTCACAACTGTCTGTAACTGAAGTTCTAGTGGATCTGACACCCTCATATGGATAGACATACAGACTAAACAACAATGCACATAAAAACGGTCATTTTGGCTAGTCTGGTTTTCCACAATTCTAGCTTTGTGGTATAAAGTAAACAATTGGAGAGATCCCATATTATGAGAGTTTAAAGACTCAAGGGCAAATTAAAATTGCCTTGAGGTCCCATCTCACCCCAGGTAGAATGACCGTCACCAAGAAAAAGAATGGCTAGGGAGGATCCAGGGGACAGGGGTCCTTATTCACTGCTGGTGGAAACAGAAATTGGTGCAGCCACCAAGGAAATCTGTGAGGAGATTCCTCAAAAAAAAAGAAAAATAAATAAAAATAGATCTGCCGTATGATGTGTCTCCATGGCAAGTAACTGAACCCATCCCCAAGGCTGCATCTTCTCTTCTGAAAATGGAAACCAGAGCCCCCACCTCTCCTTGGCCATCATGACCACCAGGTGAAACAGGAGGCCTGTTGGGAGTCATTGTAGACTATTTATTTTGAGACAGGGTCTCACTCTATAATTTTAGCTGGTCTAGAACTTGCTCTGTAGACCAGGCTGGCCTTGAACTCAGATCTGCCGGTCTCTGCCTCCCAATCCAAGCACCAGGACTGAAGGTGTACATTACCACGACGGGCTCATCACTAGACTCCTGAAGGACTCAAAAATGACACCTGTTCCTTGCCTCAAAAACAAAACAAAAAAGTGAATTAACGATCCACTTAAGTTTGCGGGTATGAAGGATGAGGTTTGGGTAGCCTTAAAACAACTACCGAGGGGTTGGAGAGGTGGCTCAGAGGTTAAGAGCTCTGACTGCTCTCCAGAGGATGTGGGTTCAGTTTCCAGCATCCACATGGCAGCTCACAATTGCCTGTAACACCAAGATCTGACACCCCCACACAGATACACATGCAGGCAAAACACCAATGTGCATAAAAATTTTTTAAAAATCAACTACTTAGCATCTGAAATGCATGACAATATAGGAGCTTTAAGACCAACAGAGTTCATTTTTATAAGATTATGACTTCATCAAAAAAGGCCAAGAGGTTTTTTGTTTGTTTGTTTGTTTGTTTTCTGTAAGTGCTATCATTAGAGATTGAAACCAGCACTTCACGCTTCAGCACATAAAACCACTAGGGATTGAAGCCAGGGCCTCCTGACTGCTGTGCACACACCACCACCAGAAGTCAAAGCATCATGCACGATATGCACGCACTACCAGAGATGCCAGGGTATCACACACCAGAGATGCTAAGCACGTACTACCACCAGAGACTGAAGTCAGAGCCTCGTGCATGCTTTGGATACACAGCCCCAGGTATCATCAATGCCCAGGAGGTGCAGAGAGCAGAAGGAGCAGAGAAAACATGAGCGAACAGCCAGACAAGGAGCAGGTGTCGGTTCTGAGGAGCTGGAGTCGTTCAAAGAGTCTTACGATAGTTGAGGCTGAGGTGCAGTGGTGCACACTATACCCCAGCACTCAGGAGGCAGAGGCAGGACATCTCTTAGGAGTTGGAGGCCAGCCTGGTCTACAGAGCTACTTCCAGGACAACACATATATGTACACTGGTCTACAGAGCTACTTCCAGGACAACACATATATGTACACTGGTCTACAGAGCTACTTCCAGGACTACATAGACCTACAGAGCTACACAGACCTGTATAAAAACAAAATTCCAACCGAAAACTAATTGTAAAAATGAGGACATCAAGTTGGAATGGAGACAGGTTGTGGGGCCTCAAGGTGACATGGCGAGAGGCAGGAGGGAGTACATATGATCACGATGCTCTGTAGCATATGTGAATATGCTACATTCAAAGAATAAAAGTATTAAGAAGAAAAAATTGCTGTTTCCTAGAGCTGAGGAAGACAGATTCAGGAAAGTGTAAAATGCTTGTATGCACCATTTTTTAAAATTTCATTTTAAATTCTACCCACAGTTCTCCCTGCTCCTCTCACCCCCACCTTCCTTCTATCCCACTCCCCCCCACTCCTCCCAACTGGTAAGGGCTCCCATGGGGAGTCAACAAAGACTGGTACATTAAGTTGGGCAGGACCAAGCCTCTTCCCCCCACATTAAGGCTGAGCATGGCATCCCACAATAGGGAATGGGCTCCAACAAGCTAGCTCATGCACCAGGGGAGAGATCCTGGTCCCACTGCCAGGTGCCTCACAGATAGTCCAAGCTTCACCACTGCCTCCCACATATGGGGGGGCGGGGCTATGTGGTCCCATGAAGGCTCCACAGCTGTTGGTCTAGAGTTCATGAGTTTCCACGAGCTTGGTTCAGCTGTCTCTGTAGATTTCTCCATCATGATCTTGACTTTCCTTGCTCATATAATTCCTCATCCTTTTCGAATGGATTCCCAGAACACCAATTTCTTTATATCTAACCCCCAAATAACTCAGATGAAATACATCAGGATAGAATTTTTCTAAAATAACTCAGATGAAATACATCAGACTAGAATCTTTTTTCTTTAAAAGTATATCCTTTATCTTAGCTGGCTTCAAGTTACTATGTAGCAGAGATTGTATTTTCACTTCTGACCCTCCTAATTAGTGCTGGAATTACAGGCAAGTGGTGCTGGGGATCTGAGGCAAACACTCTACAGTCTGAATTATCACCAGCTCAGCACCTTCCTCTGCAGACCAGGCCTCAGACTCAGAGATCTCCTGACTCTGCCCACCACCACTGGGCTCAAGTGTCTCAATCTAATGTTATGAACAAGATAAGCAAAGTCAGAGGCTCTCAACTTGTGGGTCATAACCCCCTTTCAAGGTAAAATGACCCCTTCACAGGAGTCATATCCAAAATTCTGCATGTCAGATATTTTCATTACAATTCATAATAGTAGCAAAATTACAGTTATGAAGTTGCAAGGAAAATAATTTTATGG